GAGGACACATGCGCGCCGCACACGAGCAGCGGCGAGAGTGGCGCGATCAGCTGGTAGGAACCCAGACCAAATGTTTCTGGCGGTAGGAAAACGTATCGTACACTCTCTCAATGACGTAACTTTAAATGTCAATTGTTTTATACGATTTTGTCGTCAGTAAGTTGTGATTAATATGCGTCGGTCTATTTTGTCGTCAGTAAGTTGTGATTAATATGCGTCGGTCTATTTTGTCGTCAGTAAGTTGTGATTAATATGCGTCAGTCTATTTTGTCGTCAATAAGTTGTGATTAATATACGTCAGTCTATTTTGTCGTCGATAAGTTGTGATTAATATGCGTCAGTCTGTTTTGTCGTCAATAAGTTGTGATTAATATGCGTCGGTCTATTTTGTCGTCAATAAGTTGTGATTAATATACGTCAGTCTATTTTGTCGTCGATAAGTTGTGATTAATATGCGTCAGTCTGTTTTGTCGTCAATAAGTTGTGATTAATATGCGTCAGTCTGTTTTGTCGTCGATAAGTTGTGATTCATATGCGTCAGTCTATTTTGTCGTCGATTTGTGATTAATATACGTCAGTCTATTTTGTCGTCAATAAGTTGTGATTAATATGCGTCAGTCTATTTTGTCGTCAGTAAGTTGTGATTAATATACGTCAGTCTATTTTGTCGTCAATAAGTTGTGATTAATATGCGTCAGTCTATTTTGTCGTCAGTAAGTTGTGATTCATATGCGTCAGTCTATTTTGTCGTCAATAGGTTGTGATTAATATACGTCAGTCTATTTTGTCGTCAGTAAGTTGCGATTCATATGTATCTGTCTATTTCAAATGCTAATTCCTTCACCACATCTCTTAATTAACAGAATTAATTTCCAAATCAGGCCACCACCATATATCCAGTTCAGAGATTCCCGACAATAATTACTTTAAGATACAATTCTATTCAATAAAAAATTTGAATCATATGTTGTACATTAATAATTACAAAATTTAAAATATATGATATATAAATAAAAAAAACAGGGTGTGTATGGGACGTGAGTCACAAAAACTGTTCAAGTACGTTTATTAAGACAATAAGATACGTCTCAAAAGGATTGATACTCTCCTTAAGGAACATTACCGAACAACTTAAACCATCGAGGATCGAACGCCGACCTGCAAGAACCTAGGCCGTCGCTGTACCGATCAGGCCAAGTGGTTGGTACAAAAAATTATATATATATATATATATATATATATATATATATATATATATATATATATATATATATATATATATATATATATATATATATATATATATATATATATATATATATATATATATATATATATATATATATATATATATATATATAAATTTGCAGCTGTGACCGCCGGCATGTGGGAGGGAAAGGAATATACAATTTCAGTGTGCATGTGGAAGTGTCTGCGCATATTAATATCATTTTCATGTTTGGTAAAGGAGGGGACGAAGAGGCTTCTAGTAAGTGCACAACATTTTTTTGAGCTGTTTTTTGCGATATAAAGTATAGTCCATATATACGAACCTGCGAATTGGGGATTAAAACTTAAGTTTAATGAGTTTTGTTTTTGAATCCCGCAGACGTATGTGAATTTGGGAGGCCGAGACGTATGTGGGGGTGGTAGAGCCAGATGTATGTGGGTGTGGTAGAACCAGATGTATGTGGGTGTGGTAGAACCAGATGTATGTGGGTGTGGTAGAACCAGATGTATGTGGGTGTGGTAGAGCCAGATGTATGTGGGTGTGGTAGAACCAGATGTATGTGGGTGTGGTAGAACCAGATGTATGTGGGTGTGGTAGAACCAGATGTATGTGGGTGTGGTAGAGCCAGATGTATGTGGGTGTGGTAGACCCAGATGTATGGGGGTGTGGTAGAGCCAGATGTATGTGGGTGTGGTAGACCCAGATGTATGGGGGTGTGGTAGACCCAGATGTATGGGGGTGTGGTAGAGCCAGATGTATGTGGGTGTGGTAGACCCAGATGTATGGGGGTGTGGTAGACCCAGATGTATGGGGTGTGGTAGAGCCAGATGTATGTGGGTGTGGTAGACCCAGATGTATGGGGGTGTGGTAGAGCCAGATGTATGTGGGTGTGGTAGACTCAGATGTATGTGGGTGTGGTAGACCCAGATGTATGGGGGTGTGGTAGAGCCAGATGTATGTGGGTGTGGTAGACCCAGATGTATGTGGGTGTGGTAGACCCAGATGTATGTGGGTGTGGTAGAGCCAGATGTATGTGGGTGTGGTAGACCCAGATGTATGGGGGTGTGGTAGACCCAGATGTATGGGGGTGTGGTAGAGCCAGATGTATGTGGGTGTGGTAGACCCAGATGTATGTGGGTGTGGTAGACCCAGATGTATGTGGGTGTGGTAGAGCCAGATGTATGTGGGTGTGGTAGAGCCAGATGTATGTGGGTGTGGTAGAGCCAGATGTATGTGGGTGTGGTAGAGCCAGATGTATGGGGGTGTGGTAGAGCCAGATGTATGTGGGTGTGGTAGAGCCAGATGTATGTGGGTGTGGTAGACCCAGATGTATGTGGGTGTGGTAGACCCAGATGTATGTGGGTGTGGTAGACCCAGATGTATGTGGGTGTGGTAGACCCAGATGTATGGGGGTGTGGTAGAGCCAGATGTATGGGGGTGTGGTAGACCCAGATGTATGGGGGTGTGGTAGAGCCAGATGTATGTGGGTGTGGTAGAGCCAGATGTATGTGGGGTGTGGTAGACCCAGATGTATGTGGGTGTGGTAGACCCAGATGTATGTGGGTGTGGTAGACCCAGATGTATGGGGGTGTGGTAGAGCCAGATGTATGTGGGTGTGGTAGACCCAGATGTATGTGGGTGTGGTAGACCCAGATGTATGGGGGTGTGGTAGAGCCAGATGTATGTGGGTGTGGTAGACCCAGATGTATGGGGGTGTGGTAGACCCAGATGTATGGGGGTGTGGTAGAGCCAGATGTATGTGGGTGTGGTAGACCCAGATGTATGGGGGTGTGGTAGAGCCAGATGTATGTGGGTGTGGTAGACCCAGATGTATGTGGGTGTGGTAGACCCAGATGTATGGGGGTGTGGTAGAGCCAGATGTATGTGGGTGTGGTAGATCCAGATGTATGTGGGTGTGGTAGACCCAGGTGTATGTGGGTGTCGTAGACCCAGATGTATGTGGGTGTGGTAGACCCAGATGTATGTGGGTGTGGTAGAGCCAGATGTATGTGGGTGTGAATAATATTTTATTTACAATTAGGTACAATGGGTGGGGATATTACATTATAGTGATATTTTTACATTCTTACAAAGCCACTAACACGCATATAGCATTTCGGACAGGTCCTACTAATTTTCTCATGCCCTCTGGTAGGATCTTCCCTATTAATTCCTTGCCAGCGATGCCCTAGGATGAAAACGCAGTTGCTTTGCGTATATTGACTTCTGGAGCTCGTCAAATTGACTTAATAGTGGGCTGCCAAAAGTGGGTGCATACCTTAAGAAGTACTTTAGCCTGGATAAGGCAAGGCACTTTATGAGAAGGTACAGGGCATCATGAGAACCAAAGTCCTCTATTCTCTTCCATCCTCTATAAGTCATTAAATTTTTCCTCGAGGATTGCATCAATGACGTTGTGACTCAAAGGGGTTCCAAGTAGTGTACTGTCAGTGGGTTCAATGACTGAGGCTTTCGGTAAAGCTGATTTCACTGCATTATTGACCACTTCGTTAGATGAAATTATTTCACACTTGGAGGGGTTAAGGACGAGACCCAGGGTCTCCGTCTGTGACTTTACCAGCTGCAGGTCTTCCAGCAGGGACTCTTGTGTGCCTGCCAGAGTCCCATCATCCAGGAACGATGCTGAGCTCACTGGTCAGTCTGCTTGTGATTTCGCGAATCACTATGCAGAAGCGAAAGGGTGCAAAGGGGTCTTCCCTGTTGAATTCCTTCTGCTGACTTTGTGCTCGCTAAAAAAAGGAGCGTTGAGGACTTTGCTGTAACCTGCCGAACCAATTAATGGGAAGAATGCTTCGGCAATGTTCTTGAACTGCTCTAGGAGTCATTTCCTTTTTGACCGCGTTGAAAGCGTTTCTGAAATCTAATTGTACTACTGCCTTGTCTTCATTGAGAGAACTGATATAGGCTCGTGCGGAAACACCCAGCCTTTGTGGTTTCAAGATTGCTTCACTGCCCTGGGGGAGCCCAAAACCATGCTGATTGGGTTTGCAGAATAGTGGCTGCTGCCAGACAGATACTGCTGACAGTCGGCATTGGGTCCATTTTTCCTTTTTCAAATTCAAGTACGTTTATTAACAATAATATACATCTCAAAAGGGTAGAGTAGCTTAGGTTATTTTTACCATCCTAAATTCTTTCTCTTTAGGGTGCCTAAGGAATACATGAAAGAAAAAATGGGGTACAATTTCGTAAGGAATTAAACTGTTCACAAGCGAAATTTCTGACAGGAATGCCTCTGCGATGGGCCAAGAATTCACCATTCTTGGTGAATTCACCATTTCCTTGACAGAGTTCACCATTTCCTTGAAGAGTTCACCATTTCCTTGACATGTTGAGGTCCTCCTAACTTAGTGTAGCATCCTGAGGAGTTCAGAGAAAATGAGACGATGGCTTTATAAAGATTAAGGACCTGCCCGAAACGTTGTGCGTACTAGTGGCTTTACAAGACTGTAATTACTATGCTATGTGTCCTCACAATCCCAATGTACCTTCTTCTATATATATATATATATAAATAAATAAATTTATTTATAAACCTCTAGTTTGAAGGGTCCTTGCCTCTGTTAGGGAGGTACCCCCCTACAGTGGTGCCGGGAAGTGGTGTAATTCTCTCAGTGTTTGGGCCGTAATTTCATCTCTGGGTAAAATATTCTCATTTGTGATTAACCTGAGTGCTAATATATACCCAGGCTTCCTGTCCCCGACAATGGGAATTATAGTTAATTAGTATTGAAAGCAGTAGAAGAGTGTGGTGTTGAGACAGTGTCGGGGGGAGGTGCCAGCTGGCACTGGCAGGCGTATGTCACTTACCTGATCTAGTGAGTGACAGGGCAAGTGACTGGCAGCAGAGTGGTGCAGTTAGTGACAGAAGCAAGTGATGGGTTGCATGATGGGGGTCGTGTTAATGATGAGGGGGGCGTGGCGGTGTTGGTGACCTCTGACCTCATTGTCGTGACCTTTATGCCATGGCTAGTAGGGTCAGTCTCCTCACCAACACGGCACCATAGCCTCGTATATCTATGTTTTGCCTTTGCTACTCGTTGATTATAGGACACACCTCGCTTAACCTAGCCTAGAGTAGCCTAGCCTAGCCTAGCCTAGCCTAGCCTAGCCTAGCCTAACCAAGCCTAACCTTACCTGGCCTGACCTCATGCCCAACCAAATCTGGCCTGACCTTGCTATGCCCCATGCCATGCCTGACCTGACCTTGCTATATCCTGCCATGCCTGACCTGACCTTGCTATATCCTGCCATGCCTGACCTGACCTTGTTATGCCATACCTGGCCTGACCTCCAATTCTTTTCTGAATGTGAACATTAAATTTGTATCCATTGTTCCGGTGTTCGAACATATGTATATCGACATAAGATCGAAATAAGGCAAATATGATCCAGTACTTAATGGGATTTATATCTAGAAGCATTAGTAATAAGACATTTTGTTATGCTTCAGATTTATCTTGCCTTTGTTAGGCCTCAATGTAGATTGTCACAGAAATGTGTAACGGCACAGGCAAGGATGGCCGATTTCATCCTCATAGTTTCCTGTCTTGTGCTTCAAACTCACACTGTATCTTGTACTAGCCACTTCTGCAATATTAGTACTTAAGACACATATCTTCACCAGTGTAATCACCGCTGTCAACTTATATTGTAGTTATTTGTTGATATAAAAACCTTGCTACAATGTACCTTTTCATCTTACCTGATATTTATTTATTTATTTATTTATTTATTTATATATATATATATACAAGGTGTCTATTAATCTTGTTTAAATTACCAATCAAGCTGTCAATGTAATCAATCGGAGCTTTAATATACCAATGTGCTTTAATATACTTACTAATCTCTCTCTCATCTCATTTTTTTTCTTGCAATGTATTTGTTATTTTATTAATTCTGATAGAATTTACCTACTTAAAATTATCTGTTAGATTAAGGACCTGCCCGAAATGCTGCGCGTACTAGTGGCTTTACAAGATTGTAAATACTATGCTATGTATTCTCACAAACCCAATGTACCTTCTTGTATATAAATAAATAAATAAATAAATAAGGTACATTGACATTGTGAGGATACATAGCATAGATATGTTAGATTAAGGACCTGCCCAAAAATGCTAAGCGTGTTAGTGGCTTTGCATGAATGTAAAAATACCAATCTAATGTTATCTCAATCTCATTGTATCTTCTTGCAAATAAATTATTATCATTAGTATTAGGATACCTGTTCATCCCAGGAATTGGGAACCTTCACTATGGAGTGTCGGCACTAAATATATCAATACAAAGAAATGGTTACGTATTTGGATAAGTTACAGGTTTATGGAACAAATGCCGCCAAGAATTTGTATTGGCGCTAAATTTCAAGAAGTATTACAAATGAGAACAATCATGTGTGTGTTCAATGTTATGAATTCTTGACAATGGCTCCTGTTTTTTTTTAATAGGTATTTGGAGTTTATCTACTTGGGGGATGGCGACCCACAGTTTAATTTTTTCATACGTGATTATTTTTATTCCAGAACACGATGGGTAATACATTGGGCTCTGGAACTGCTGAAGGTAAGAGCTTTATTAGTCTGTGAGGAGAAAAAGGTGAAAATAAGAAATAAGAAAATAAGTAATAAATAAGAAATAAAAAAATAAGAAATAAGAAAATAAGAACACCTTTATAAGAAAAGGTGTTCTTTATACAAAAAATGTGTTTATCTGTTATTAGTGTACCTATTTATTGCTTATATGTAATAAATGAAAATAGTATATTATAAATGATAACTGTTAGAAATGTATGTTGTCTTTGATAATGTTAGCTCACAATAGGAGTACATTGAATGTTTATTTTACAAAACCTCTAATGATGCACAGCATTTCTGAAAAGTCTTTAGATATAGATACTGTACAGTACCATATATACTATAAATGTATACACTTTTTAAAGTATACAGTATACTGTTTGGGGGGGGGAGGGGGGTTGAGAAAGTGGAAGGGGGTAAGAGAGAGAGAAAGAGACGAGTACTGTACTACCAAGTACAGTACTCCATCTGGTTCATATGTAAAGCAAAATTTCTTTAGTTCCAGATAATAGAATTGGATTCTGTGTGGAAGTTATTCCACAAGAAGTTATGGAACACATTTTCTTGTATGTTCCCGTCAAGGATCTTGTGACGTCAGTAACACGGGTCTGCAAGTATTGGCATCGCTTACTTATCGAGTACCGCTTCTGGTTTATAAAGTTAGTTCCTCGGATTACTGTTCATTGTGATTGGTAGTACATTTATCGAGTAAAGATTTTAGATATACTTTTTAAGAGTTAAATTAAAATGTGGATGGCCCTGTTCTTTGTATATGGCAGATTACATTTTAAAAGCCACTTGCATACTTTAATTTATTATTAAATGTTAATGTCTACCCAAAATTGTTGCCCCTGCTGCTTGCCACTTGGCTGCCTGCTGCTTGAACAAATAATGGAAGGCCTGTGCATGTTATCTCTTGTGATTGCTGTCATTGTATCACTATTCTCCTTCAGGTCTTAATATCTCTAGTTAATACCATATTCTTGCTGCAGTTATGGCCTTTGATTATTTGTTTAGGAATAACTTAGGCTTTATCCATTTAATTGTTAGTTTTATAATCACTGAATTTATAATTGTACAGTCACTAATGATGCTTTGTTTACAAACACAACTGTGGCATTGGGTGCAGAAGGATTTTCTGGCTATAATGTCTCGTAAACTTGTTAATTCATGAAACGTGTTGCTAAGTAACATAATAGACTTGGTCACTGGACTGTTTTCTGCATAAGTTAGACAAATATACAAAATGTTGTGATTGGATATAAATAATTAAGTCAATAGGCCAATAGGCCATTTGCAGTTTCTTATAATCTCATGTTTAGATCTTGTTACAAATTGGTGAGTGATAGTTTATAAATGACATCTTGCTGGAAACATATTGCACTTGCCTGCATGATATAATACTGCTGTGATTGCTATTTCAAAATGATGATGTAATGTGAAAGGTAAATGGATTTTTTTTTCTCTCTGTGTGCTCTTATTTCTTTTTTTTCTTTTTTTTTTGAGATATATACAAGAGTTGTTACATTCTCGTACAGCCACTAGTACGCGTAGCGTTTCGGGCAGGTCCCTGGAATACGATCCCCGCCGCGAAGAATCGTTTAATCAATATCTTGCCACCCCTTCCCTTATGCAAGTGGGAAATGAGATATTGGTGATCACGTTACAAATTTGTTCAGAGTCGCAAGTGCATTGCTGTACCCCACTTCTCAGTGTTCATACTCTGAGTTTACTTCATATATGAACTTGTAGACTTTACTGTAGTATACCTGTACTTGTTGGTAATAAGCTGCTATTGTCCTTAATAACTCTCGTAGATTTGTTGACCTCAAGCCCAGCACCAAGTCAACATTCTGGTTTGGTACTCTGCCAACCTACTCGGGGACATTTGGACAACTTTCCTTTCACCTGATGCATCATTTTTACCATTCGGTAAATAGGTGCCTGGGAGTTGGCCAATTTTTGTAGCTTTCTTTTTGGGGAAGGTCAGCTGTGTCAGACTTCCCATCTCTGGCAAAGAAAAACAAAATTTGGTCTTATGGAACAGTGCGATGCTACTGGAATGAGTGAACAAATCACACTTTCATATGGTGATTTGGGCCCTCATCTGTTCAACAATGAAGCGAGGTTAATTGGGGTTTAAGTTCTTGATGGGACAAGGTAACGATAGGGCACCTTTCCTCGACTGGTCACCCGTGTGCACCCAGCTGGAATTGGAACCTAATGTAAAATTATCAAATAGTGTTCAAAGGAAAACAAAACATAAAGATGTAACAGGTTTAAGTTCCTTGCCTAATTTAGGCCTAAATCTAAATAACCCTCTCCCTCACCCCCCCAAGACCCTCTTCCCCTCCCCCAAAATTACTTAAGTGTTCAGGCTTTGTCTGGGAATCTATTGATGCCCTGTGTATTCCTGTACTTGTTCTGGCTAAAGAGCAGTGTGTTTCATTATGACAACATAACGTTTCTGCCCGAAACGCTTTGCGTAATAGTGGCTTTAGGCATTGTATGTACTAGCTCTATCTATTAATCCAACAAACTTTGTAAAATCTCTTGTATGTATGTACCTTACCTAAATAAACATATATTTATTTATTTATTTAACAGGGCTCAGGCTGAAGGATTCAATGTGAGTGCGGCTGCTAAAGAGAGGCTTCTAGAGGAGACAAATGAGGCTTTAGTTCTCCGTATTCTTCAGGGTATATGTGGAGACTACTTGCACCTCAACACTAATCTCATCCTCAATCCAAGTGGACAGGGTGAGACACTTTCTTTTAGTGTTTAATACACATGTTTTAAGCTTTGCATATTATGGTTAAGTATATATTATGGGAAATTTGAATGGCAAAAAGTATTTTTGTAATTTTGTTCACCCTCAAATTAAATTTACTACTGTATATGGATAATTTCTATTTAACAATAATTGTTCTTTCTTGATGGGGAAGGGGGGTGACTCTCTGGTGACTCCCTGAAAATATAGTACCTGTATTGGCAAATATAAATGAAATATAGTTTTGTGTGAAAAAATTGATTGCTCTGAGACCTTCCTTCCTTGAAACTCGACATGTAACCAAGACGTTAATGAGCAAACTTGTCATGGGTCTTGTTGTTCTTTCAGTATGCCCAACATCATAAGTGGTCTTTGGTCTGATAGAGTAATGTATTTGCATATTGTGTGCAGCAATTGCCAGGTGCCGTTACTGATATTACTATTAGATTAAAATACTGTACAATAATTACAGTATGATAATTCAGATACATTTTCTTTGTTCTATAAGTGTTCTGCATGTTCTATATGCAATCCCCTTGTATGTAGCTACAGTAAACAATAATACAGTGCTGTTTCTAATTACAGTACAGTATTGTACATTGACTTCTCTCTAAACGTTTAACAATTGGTTCTGCACCCATTGTCGTTATCTTGAGGTTATCTTGAGATGATTTCGGGGCTTTTACTGTCCCCGCGGCCCGGTCCTCGACCAGGCCTCCACCCCCAGGAAGCAGCCCGTGACAGCTGACTAACATCCAGGTACCTATTTTACTGCTAGGTAACAGGGACATAGGGTGAAAGAAACTCTGCCCATTGTTTCTCGCCGGCGCCTGGGATCGAACCCAGGACCACAGGATCACAAGTCCAGCGTGCTGTCCGCTCGGCCGACCGGCTCCCTGCGTATATTATATTTATCGTATATTAGATTTTTTTGCATCGTATTGCTATTTTTCTTGGTTTATTTTGCAACAGTGTGGATTTGTTAATGGAAACAATACAACATACTTTGCTCTTTTTTTTATATTGAATTCCTTTGGGGGAGAAAGTAAATCTTGATTTAAATTTTTATTTGACGTTTATCGGCATATCAAAAGTGGTCAATGCTATTTCTTCTTTGTCTAGATGCCACTTTAGGCTGACTATTGCTGGATTCCAATATTTGTTGTGCCAGGTTTACTTGTGTGAGAATCCACTGTAGTTTGTTCTTTGAAGTTGCACAAAGAAATTAATGAATTTCATTTGGAAATTATTAAATCTATATTTATACTTGAAACATAAAATATGACTACTGTACTGAATTATATTGGTATCTTGATTTATATTAACAGAGGGATTTAAGCACTGGACTGTAAAACACGGAGGTGATAAAATTATAGTGGAGGATGTTCCAGCTGGGTCCGACCCAATACCTGATGAGGCCGGCCTACCCACCCAACACTGCTTTGTCACCTCTTATAGTACCTGCATAAGGATACAGGTTATAAACCTTGAATCTATTGGCCTCGATCCCCAGATTGTTGATATTTTGAAACCGAAAGTTCATATATCTGAATGGTAAGTTTGTGGCTTAAATTACGTTTTCTTGTGTAATGGCGTATTTATTTTTTTCAGTTACTGTACCTGTATTTGTTTGTGCGGTAATTACCATATATATATATGGCAATATATATACACATATACACACTAAATGGTGATGCTGTCAAAGACTTTAAGGAGATTTACTGATTTTGCTTTTGTAAATACTGTACAGAGAATCATGTGCTTTCCGAGCACCTTGGGACAGACAAGATTAATAATAACTGTGGGTAATGACGACTCGTGGGATTTTATTATTTATTTTAATTATTTCTTAATTGATTAATTTAATGAATTCTAATTTAAAATGTATAAGCGATTGATTTCTTATTTCTTACGATAGCTTAGCGGACTGTGTGTTTTATTGAGTGGACTGTTTGGATTTAAATTCTCCCACAAGTCATATCCCTACACAAGTATGGGGGGTTATTAGCTATTATTATTATAGCCTATCAATTTGAGAATTATTGATTGACAGGAAAATTTATACTAAGAATTAATATTACTGAGGTTAGTTTAAATGACTGATAGTCTTATCTGATTAGAAGACTTCAATTTGGATACAAGTAGGACACGTGGGCTATCGCCTAGTTATGGGCCTTGTGGCAATGGCATCGTGGTCCTCACATGTTGCAGCAGGTAGATGTCGCCAATATATACAGGTTGCGAAAGAAGATCTGCCAGAAGGATTCCATACAGCTAATGCAAATAATCTAATCACAGATATGGCATATAAATTATTATGGGTTATGTGATTGTAAGAGGCTCGCCCTATTTTGTTGGTTTACCTGCCTCGTAACCGGTTGTTTGTAACAAGAGAGCAGTACAAAGTAGTACAACATGAACATCATAACAGCATGCACAAGCCACGTGGAGGATGAACAAACCACAGGTGCCAGTCAGGCGGCGGCAGACAATGTAAAAGTTACACCTCAGTACCAGTTAACCAGGAGGACAGGTCAGCGGTTACCAAGTCACGAAGAGGTCAGAATTGATGCCGTCATGAGTAATCATTATATTGATGAGCTCAATAATAAAATAGAATATATTTTATACATTCCAGAATGAGGTACTTTAGTTATTTGAGGTAGCGGCAGCAGAAGATGGCGGCTCGGGTTACGAGTATAAACGTGGCTGCCGAGAGAGCTTCTTCATGAGAGATTTGCTGGTTAAACAATGGTGTCCCCCTCCTCCTTGCTTGCTTTAGTGACTCCACTAGGAATGGTTAAATTTTCTGCCCATTTATGGACAAAAATAGGGAGACATGGATTTTATTGATTATATAATTTAATTCAGTCACAAAGAACAATTTTTTATTGTTCATAATGCTGGACAGGAGGTTTTAAGTAATGGATTTACATTGAACGTAGATATTTTAATGACGTGGCAATAATATCCTATGTTTAAGGGAAATTCCACTGTAATCTCGTTTTCTTTTAACGAGTTACTAAATTAGTTTGTGTTATTATTGGTTAATGGATTAATACAAGAACAGCAGGGCAGTTATCTGCATATTGTAACTATGATTATTTAAAAATGTCGGTTTTCCCAACAATAACCTGTTGTCAGGGAAAGTGGAGTGTCATCCTTAAAATCTAAGAGATAAAATTAACAATTTGAGGGGAATATTGAACAATTGTTTTTGTTATTCTCGTCAATATGAAGTTCTGATCTGCTTACAAAGGTGAAGAATATTGTTCAAGCTCCTGCGCTATCTACCAGTATAAAGCCTGCCACTGGCTTTTATCATATCCTCTTGCTTCTTCCTCAACTGCAACCACTGCAGCTTAGCTTTTCTCCTTGTATTTCTATTATGTATGCTTTATCGCTTTCACTTTGATGAAAACAGTCGGTAGCTTTAGCCTTAATGTGTGAGAGCACAGTCGTGCTCACTTGGTACTCGATGCACATAATACCTTTTGGGATGCCACTCCAACTCCTTCATTCATTCTACAGGGACTTTCTTTCCAAGTCATCGCTGAATGCTTTCCCTTAGGTTTCCTGTTTGTAGAAACGATCCTCAACAAATTACATTGATTTGTAATCGACATGGTTCACGGATGTTCATAAATTATCCAAGAAAATCATGGGAAGAAACTGCTTGCGCAACAAACCACACAAATACTGCGATGCCTAGCAACCTCTTGCTCAAGCCCCTTTATTGCACATTTTATTCGAACTGCTTACCTATCTTGAGGTTATCTTGAGATGATTTCGGGGCTTTTTAGTGTCCCCGCGGCCCGGTCCTCGACCAGGCCTCCACCCCCAGGAAGCAGCCTGTGACAGCTGACTAACACCCAGGTACCTATTTTGCTGTTAGGTAACAGGGGCATAGGGTGAAAGAAACTCTGCCCATTGTTTCTCGCCGGCGCCTGGGATCGAACCCAGGACTACAGGATCACAAGTCCAGCGTGCTGTCCGCTTGGCCGACTGGCTCCCATACAACAAACAACCTTTATCAGTAGCTTTGGACCGTCACACAATTGAGATACCAGCATGCCTGGATAAGATGTCCAGGAAGTACATTGCTGTCTGTATATAAATTTTTTTCATGTAAGTACTGTACTGCTTTCCAGGGTGAGTGCAAGATGGGACTGCCATTCGGAGAACCAAGTAATTGTCGAGTTTAGGGGTGCTGAAAACAGAAACCTGGTCAGTATGAATTGGTCCTCTGATAAGGATGATGTAATTGGAAGCAAATGGTACAAGGTAAGTAAATCTTTGAAATGTTCTTTTATGTCATAATGACATGTTTTAGTATTACCTATCAATACAGGGATTCCCCATTAAATGAATGCCCAATATACAAACACTCATGCATCTGAACAGCCTCCTAAAGCCCCATTTTTGTGTTTCAATTCACTATATATAATAGATCCACACTGCCTCAGTCAGCAGTACTGAGATCCTTAGCACAAAGAGTTAATCCTCGTTACTCCCAAAGTTCTAATAGAGCAAGATAATTTCACACGTAAGTATTGGCGCAGTTAGTGTCGGCATTATACTAGCTGTTGTTTTCCGTGATGCTTGTCATCTCTAGCCGTTGGCATTTGTGTACACAATTCTTATGTTTATTCCTTCATCTATTCCCCTGCCATTGCTGTTCTATAGCAGGCATAGGCAGGCAGGTATTCTCAGTCAGTTAGGCAATCTCAGTAAGGCAAGGAGTCAGTGAGGCAGCCCAGGAAGTGACTGTAGGGAGGTGGGAATTGGAGGGTGCCAGGGAAGGTGTTGGGTGGGGATTGGAGGGTGCCAGGGAAGGTGTTGGGTGAGGATTGGAGGGTGCCAGGGAAGGTGTTGGGTGGGAATTGGAGGGTGTTGGGGTTGGTAGGGTATATGGGTAGGATGGGAGGGAGGGATGTTGAGGGGTCCCTCATGTGACTGCATGTGAGTTGGGATGATAGTGAGAGGGAGAGCTGAGAGGAAGATGGGAAGATGAGATACCTAGCAATCTGTTTAGTCTGTCAGACAGGCGGCCAACCCAAACCATCCTCTGGAGTTGCCGCAACAGATGGAAAATGGGATACTAAAACACTCTTAACATAACCTAATTTATTGACTCATGAATACAAAATTTGAATGTTTGTGAGCTGCTATGATTTATAGTGCCCTTTTGTCCATTGGGGCTTTTGAATTAAAAATCTAATGTATTATTCAAGAGGACATGTTGGCCAGCCAGCTTGTCAGGAGTGGGTGGGTGTTGGGAGTGGGTTGGTGGGAGAGTGTCAGGCATGGGTGTAGATATTGGGAGTTTTTATAGGAGTGGTATTTCTTAGATGATGACAATGTTAGAGTGGCAGCTCTCACAAGTCTTTAGTGACCCACAAACTGGCAGATTGAACAAGACCAGATCGCGTTTACCCTGGTGGTTGGGGTGGGGTCCGTGAGTTAGTGATGGAAGAAGTGTAAGAGGTGTTTACTTGTGTGACAAATTACAAATGGCCGACTCCCAATACAGTACACACATGTATTTTCATTTAGTTATTCATATAATTAGACCTCTTCACTCCTCGAAAAACATCTAACACTGACAAGCAATAGAACTCCATCATTCTATTTGATGGAGAGTGTTTTACATAATGTGTCCCAAGAGAAATCTCATTCTGTGTCCAAACAAATGTTTCATGAACACCTTTTCAGAACACAGCCCATTCATATTTGTAGGGGAAAGGGACTCCCTGTATATTGGTACTTTATATCTCCTGTTATTTCCCCGTATTTGAGGAGACAACCACATATAGATTGTTCACATTTCAAATGCCATTAAAGCAATATGAGATTTAGTCAAGGGAGCATCCCAAACATTTTATGTGGTGTGGTTATGAATGCAAAACAGGTACTTCTTGCTTTCAGCAAGGAGAGGACAGCACCACTTATACGGAAAAATAAAGGGGACATCCGATGAATGGCTTCTATTCATTTCTGCTTACAGTACTTGTGTAATATAAGTTTGTTGTAGCATGTAACTCGGTTTAATAGTACTTATGTTAGAAGCCGACTGTCTTTCCAATATCAAACCCTGCACAGATTGAAAACTAGTTTGTAAATGATTATCAACTTCTCTAATAATGTTTAATATCTGCTCGATACCGAACACCTTTCGTATTTATTATGTCTGTGTCTGCTTATTAGAGCTCCTGCTAACACTGGTGCATTCTTAATTACCATAGTGAATGGATGGTCCATATTTTCTAGTGTTGTTGAGAACACTACAGTTGAATGGCTGTGCAAAGACCTAAAATGCAGTGATGCAGTGCATGTACAGCACTTGGCAGGGCATTTTACAGGAAAACAAAAGTGGAGCAAGGCATAGTATATGCTATAGGAAGTGACAACTCGAAGTCTGCTACTAGGAGTCTGAAGTGGCACCTGTCGGAGAAGAAGGAAACACTTGCATATGTGGTTTTGTTACAATAGCATTTTAGGACTTAGGCCTGGGGTGAGTTACTGGAAAGAGTTAGGTTTTGAAGAATAGTACAACTGACAAGATGTATGTCAGAAAATAGGATCACCGTACTCCATGTGAAATACCTGCTCAACAGACGCTAATGTTATTGTTTCTTGGTCATTCATTCAGCACAATAAGGCGTGACCAGCATCAACCTGACTCATGAATAATACATTAATTACCGTGCAAGCTATTAACACTTTCGCCCGGGCATGACGCAGCATTGCGTCATCCGTTTACTGGCGGTAATTCCGGGGATGACGCAGCATTGCGTCATCCACTTTAAATAATCGCCAAAAATCAGGTTTTTATCCGATTTTTTTGGGACTGGTTTTAAAATGCGCGCCGATGTCTTCCCATTTTCTTTGTTGAGCCTCGTGGCCCTCAGGCAGCTTGGCACATGCCGTGGGCCCATTGTTTTCGCTCCACTGTTGTGACCAATGTCGCCTCCCCTCGCATCTCAAACGTGTGAACATTTCGGCTATTTTCCGTGGCTATATTTCTTACTGCGGCTTTAGAAACTATCTACGCTTACTCCACGATGGATAGTGATCATGAACAAGGCCCTTCCAGGAAGAAAATTGCGAAAGAAAGGCTTGAAAAGGGCGGGAATTGGGAGTGTAGCTGGAAGGCGGCTGAGCACTCACTCGCGGCTAACGCGTGGCCCGTCTTCAACTCGTCGGCGGTTGGAGCGTGACCAGGTTTTTTATTTTATATGCTAATGTTCCTCTAGAGAATTCTATTGCGAACCCATTGAGACCAAAATGAAAGACTTAGGATAAAAATTGAGGTGACCAGAGTGAAAATAGTGAAAACATTTTATCGCGTTTGCGCGCTCCTGGGTAACTCGTTCGCACTTTCTCTGTTTGCTGCGGGTAATTAGCCGGGCTTTTGGAGTTTATATGCATTTAGTGCTGTAGAGAATTCTATTGCGAACACAATGATACCAAATTTAATCTCGTAGGACGAGAATTAAGGTGACAAAGTTGAAGGGAGTATACACTTTTCAGAATTTACGCGCACTCCCGTGACACCCTGGGTCCCATATCGCACAGTTGAGGGGTGGCGAGCGGGGTGCACCAAAGTGTTAAGCCTTACTAATACTATATGGTACAGCTTTTTATATGGATCACTGTAAGTTCTTCATAGCCAATTCTTTGCTTTCCTTCAGATGGAGAAAGTAGTTGTGGATTACCCGCGAGGACTAAAAATTATTAAATACTCGAATGTAGGAAAGGACCGACAGTTCTGGGCTGGACACTATGGAGCAAAGACTGCCGGCTCTTCAGTGAAACTTGTTCTGTGAGATTGTTTGATAAGTATGTACATAGTCGGGGAGGCTATGTAACATTGCTACATAGTCTCGCCAGCTTGGCGCCTTCTTTTGATAATTACTTACTTGATAAGTGTTTTAGGAATCCTCTTTAGTTGTATAATATCATGTGTATAAAAGAAATTTGAAGTAAATACTATTTATTAATAAGAAAATGCTCTTTTTTTTATGATTCCAACTTAAAACTTTGAAAATAGTAGCCACTCAATTTAAGGACCTCTGATTTACCGTTTCCCCGGTTATAATGACTGTATTTGAGGTCGGTAATTGGTGCCTTATTTGCAGAATCATTGGCCATTAAACCGGGAATACGGTATCTAGATTACAGAATCTCATTAAACTGGAGGCCACTATTGAGTTTGTTGTGGCAACCTTACCCTCCCTTGGTCAGTGGTAACATTTTCCCTTCACAGATTTCACTGCCTTGGTTATGTAGCATCCAGTCAGAGCCAGTCACAGGTAATCACAACCTGTCAGAGGTAGCCACGGTAAAGTCACAGTCAGTCATAATCTAAGGCAGTCAGACATTCACAGTTATGGTAGCAACCAGTAAAGTTTAGTAAACAGTGAGTTTGATGTCAGGCACTCAAGCAGTCTGCGTCCTAGATCACCAGCTGGTAGGAAGGTAGCCGAGATTCATAATCATATCATATTATGTAATCCCGTCCAGACTGGCCATCTAGACATGGCAAGAGGGGATGGATTGAGTGAGACCTATAAGCTAGTCTGTGATAGTCTTAGTCTGATATCTCTGCCACCTGCTGGCCTGCCCACTCAATCTGCCGCCCACCTTGCTATTCACACACTCGCCCACCCTGCCACCCACTTCCTTACTCTACCATCTGCCATGCCATCAACCCACTCATTCTGCTGCCTGCATGCCCGAATGTCCAGCTGCCTGCCTAGTCTGCCATCCACTCTACTGTCCAACAGTCCTGCTGCCTGCCCACTCTGCCACCTGTTCATTCAGCTGCCTGCACACCTGAATGCCTGTCTGCCTACACACTATGACCACCAGGTCATAATGTGGAGCCGGTCGGCCGAGCGGACAGCACACTGGACTTGTGATCCTGTGGTCCCGGGTTCGATCCCGGGCGCCGGCGAGAAACAATGGGCAGTTTCTTTCACCCTATGCCCCTGTTACCTAGCAGTAAAATAGGTACCTGGGTGTTAGTCAGCTGTCACGGGCTGCTTCCTGGGGGTGGAGGCCTGGTCGAGGACCGGGCCGCGGGGACACTAAAGCCCCGAAATCATCTCAAGATAACCCTCTCACTCACCCACTCTTCCTCCCGCCCTGCTACTCACCCACCCATCTGCCTGCCCATTTGCTTGCCAGCCACATGTTCCTCCTTCACGTTTCTACACAGTGCTGCTCCTTTACTGAGAGATATTATTTTTAACTTTTTTGCTTTAATATGAACTTGGATAATTTTTTGCTAATATCATGTCTGCCCTCCCGCCAGTCAGCCACTAATCCATCCACTCACCCCACCTCCTGCCAGCCCATCCACCTGCCAGCCAACTAGTTATCTATCCAGCACGCCAGCATGGCCACCCACCATCCATCCTTTTGCCCTAACATGACTAAAAAGTTATCAACATTTTAATACCTAGGTACAGCCCCATATAGGTCATTAAATCGAGCGAATACTGTATTCTGAATCAGCATTTGGTGTATGGTTAAATTAGAAATTCTAACATTTACCTAATGGCCACCATCACAAGTAATAATAATTATGTTTATGTAAAAAATATATAGAGGAACACAGTAAGGTGGTTGAATAGTGAATAAATCCACAAGGGCCGTGACGAGGATTCAAACCTACGTCCAAGATCATCCCAGACGCTGCCTTTATCGACTGAGCTACGACATGGTTAACATGGTTTGTTCATTTGATGCATCACGCTATTGTGATTTGTGTGTGGTTGAATAGTCATTACATAAAATGTGTATTTAGTAAGGCCACTGGTTTGCAAAACCTTTGGGCATAACTTAGAATAATTCAGGTACACTCTGTAGTAGCTTTTGGAGTTTTGGGTTGGGTCATGGAGGAGAAGTATCAAGACCGGAGTTGGGTTGGATGGCCTGAAGTCTGTTGAAGGTGTGGCTCACACCCACGGCTATAACCTGTTGTTGCCACCTAACTAATCAGAAACTGGAAATTGTTCTTCAATTTGAATTCATGGACTCCCAAATATGTAGTTCCTTACATGGGACAATAGAAAGGTATTTATTAATTGGTTATGAGTCTAGGAACTTGCTTGTTTATAATGGCTTGTAAGTGGAATCGGATTTAGTACGATGTTTCCATTGTCAGGTGCATGTTTGGTGAGGTGGTTGAAACTGTTTGCATTTCACCTCATGATGTAACTAGTCAAAACTCTCTTGACATATCTTGAGATGATTTCGGGGCTTTTTTAGTGTCCCCGCGGCCCGGTCCTCGACCAGGCCTCCACCCCCAGGAAGCAGCCCGTGACAGCTGACTAACTCCCAGGTACCTATTTACTGCTAGGTAACAGGGGCATTCAGGGTGAAAGAAACTTTGCCCATTTGTTTCTGCCTCGTGCGGGAATCGAACCCGCACCACAGAATTACGAGTCCTGCGCGCTATCCACCAGGCTACGAGGCCCCTTGCATATAGGTATTGTATCACATGTATATAAAATTACTTTGTAAACATGTGTGTTTTTACTTGTATATATTTTTAATGTAAGGTTACAGAAACTTAGCTACCTTTTTTTTCCTTATGATATAAAAAATAATAATGTGTAAAAACCAAAGCTCATCACCTCCCCACACTTCCAAAAAATAAAGTTTAGATGTATAAAGGTATATATTAGAGTGTGTGTGTGTGTTTTAACGTAAAGGGACCAGAGTGAAGCACCAATATTTCTAATACAGATTGGAAGAGAACATAAAAGATTCTGGTGAAAGATGTAGAAAATGGCTTTTATGGTGGAAGATTTCTGGATTAGATAATATTTTACTTACTCTTTGTAAAATTATTTTCCCATTCCTTTGTCTTTTTGCTGTCTTATTGACATCCTGAATGATATTTAAGACATATTTTAATACTTTGATACCCAATAGCCTTACAGGCTTAGTGCTTTCTTTTGACGCAGACAATGTCACAATAACGTGGCTGAAATCTACATGCCCATCTCACACATCTGAAAATTAAGAATTGACGTCATTTTGGACCATTATCAAGTCGGTTCCTTATTTTCAGATTTGTGGATTAGGTGTTTTTATCTTGAGAGTATTTACTAATTATTATTATTAATACACAGAGTAATCATACTAACGTGACTGCATCAATGAGAAAATCTGTAGGAGCTGTGATGAGGGTTTGAACCTCTGCGGTGGGTGTTCCCATGTACACACTTTAGGCCACATGGTACAACGATTGCAACCTGGAGTTCTACTGAACACACGAGGGCTTCCTGAGGCAACCCTCGTGTGTTTCCTGGGTTTTCCGTGATGAGGAACCCTCATCATGGCTCCTATGGATTTTCTCATTGATGCAGTCACATTAGTGTGATTGCTCTCTCTGTATTGAAAGAGGAGCATCAGAGGTAGAACATTCCTAAATGACAGAGCCAGAGTGCACAGGGGGGATTGTGTGGAAATCCTGGTCTGGCTTCAGTGAAAGCCTCGGTAAATTCTTGTGTGTTCAGCACAACTCCAGGTTGCAAGACTTATACCATGTCCATTACCATACCATTTATGGGAGCCGGTCGGCAGAGCGGACAGCACACTGGACTTGTGGTCCTGGGTTCGATCCCAGGCGCCGGCGAGAAACAATGGGCTGAGTTTCTTTCACCCTATGCCCCTGTTACCTAGCAGTAAAATAGGTACCTGGGTGTTAGTCAGCTGTCACGGGCTGCTTCCTGGGGGTGGAGGCCTGGTCGAGGACCGGGTCGCGGGGACACTAAAAAAAAAAAAGCCCCGAAATCATCTCAAGATAACTGGTCATCTCGAGCATGTGCGTGGGAACACCCACTGCACAAGTTCGAACCCACATCACGGCTCCTATGGATTTTCTCATTAGAGTATTATTATTTAATTTTCTCTTGCATCACTTAGTCCATTGTTCTGTAATAACATTATCCATGTACCCATTTTCTTCAGTAGCCTTAGATATTTTTACTGACCTAGGAAGTACAGTACTGTACTTTTTCATAGACATACAACGACACAAATCATCTCTAGCATATTGTCTCAATCCTAATAAGTCAATTTGTAATATTTGCAATTTATAAATTGATACAGTTGCAATTACAACAATACTTGATTACCATAGTCAGTTTAACTGCTCAAGTATAGTGAACCACCACATAGTCATAAATTAGTAGAGACTAAAGTTCTTGACAGTAGTTATTAGACCATATAATCACTATTTCGGGTAAATTAAGTATGTCGAATAATTGTCTGAAATATATTCCAAGAGTGCTTTACTTTGGGCCATATTGAAGATTATTTACATATTTACTTTGAACTTTATAATTTCTCATGTTTATAAAAATTACTCAAATAAATTTATTCTCATTTTCTGAGTAATACACATTATTTAATAATGGTTTTAGTGCCAGAAAATGTCTTGATATAGCAGTTTGCATAGAAATAGGCTCCTCTTAATTGTTTAATGAAGATTTTAAATATTAGGGAGAAAAGGCAGAACTGTAGAGTATATGCTTTAAGAACATGAAGGCAGTATTAACTGTACATTTGTACCCTGTACTTTAAATTCCCCAAACAAACTATCCACTAAGAAGACAGCATTTGATGACACGACCACACACTAGAATGTGAAGGGACGACGACGTTTCGGTCCGTCCTGGACCATTCTCAAGTCGATTGTGAGACAATCGACTCAAAATCGATTTGAGAATGGTCCAGGACGGACCGAAACGTCATCGTCCCTTCACATTCTGGTGTGTGGTCTTGTCATCATACTTTAGCCACGTTATTGTGACTCATCGCCTGCAAACAGAAGACAGCACTTCTCAACCAGGGTTCTGCAGAACCCCTAGATAACTAGGAGTTGTGCAAGAGAGGGTGGTGATAAGCTAATTCTAATCATATGCAAATGTATTTTTGAGTCATTTTATTAAATTTTTGTCATTTAACTAGTATCAAGAGCAAAGACAAATTGTCTCCTTTCAATTGACAACAAAAACCGCATGTGATTATCTAAAGTGTGACCTGGAATTATTTCAAGGGGTACAAAGGTTGAGAAGCTCTGCCTAAGCAAAAATATAAAATGATGTTCTCTACAATAGCATGCTTCACAAATGATAAATTAATGCAGAGAATTACAAGATAGTGGAATATCAATATAAATGTTAAAATACATAAATTACTAAAAAAAGATTGTTGCCATTTTTTGTGCTGGGGTGAAGACACAAAAGGATACTAATGTAGGATTAAGAAACTGGCCGAATTGTAAACTGCATTAATAGTGTTTAAACATTTACAATATACAGCAGACCCTTGATTTTTTTTTTAAATATTTGCATTCATGGTTTTAACTATTCACAATTGGTTGCTCTACACACCCTTTCTTTTTTTTTTTAATCTCCAATCCAAATATTGAAAAGGCTTTTATTTTTCTTTAAGTACAAAAATAAAACTATCAGATATGTACTGTAGGCAACACCACCACAAGATGTAGTGACCTAGTCCCTTAAATATCAGTGTAGCTTAGCCCTCATATACACAACACACACAACAGATAAGGTAACAGGTGGCAGGTGAGCTTCTAACATGGCTGAAAATTTTTTCTGATGGATGAAGGCAGTAATCAGAGGCAATGTATCGGACTGGAGAAATTTCATAAGTGGAGTACCACAGGGTTCAGTTCTTGCACCAGTGATGTTCATTGTCTACATAAATGATCTGCCAGATGGAATACAGAATTATATGAACATGTTTACTGATGATGCTAAGATAATATGAAGGATAAGAAACTTGGATGATTGTAATACTCTTCAAGAAGTCCTGAACAAATAGTTTATGAACCACCACTTGGCAAATAGAATTTAATGTACATAAATGCCATGTTATGGAATGTGGAATAGGAGAACATAGACCCAACTCAACCTATAAATTATGTGGGAAATCTTTAACGACTTCTGATAAAGAGATCTAGGGGTGGTTCTAGATAGAAAACTATCACCTGAGGACCACATAAAGAATATTGTGCGAGGAGCCTATGCCACGCTTTTTAACTTCAGAATTACTTTTAAATACATGGATGGTGAAATACTGTACTAAAGAAATTGTTCTCGACTTTTGTAGTCAAAACTGGAATATGCAATGGTTGTATGGTGCCCATATCTTAAGAAGCACATCAGCAAACTGGAAAAGGTGCAAAGACATGCCACTTAGTGGCTCCCAGAACTAAAGGACAAGACCTACGAGGAGAGGTTAGAGGCATTAAATATATAGTAAGTAATTATCAAAAGAAGGCACCAAATCGGGAAGGCTATGTAGCACCACCCATTGATAAAATTTATTGGGAAGACTTCCTGAGACCCGGAACTTCGAGAACAAGAGGGCATAGATTTAAACTAAACAAAGCTGCCAAAGAAATATAAGAAAATTTACTTTCACAAACAGAGTAGTAGATGGTTGGAACAAGTTAGGTGAGAAGATGGTAGAGGCCAAAACCACCAGGACTTTCAAAGCGTTATACAACAGTGCTGGGAAGACGGGACACCACGAGTGTAGCTCTCATCCTGTAACTACACTTGGGTAATTACAAGTACACACTTAAGATACTCTCTCACTAGTTCCATCCTCAAAATGTAAAAATATGCATTTTTTTTGCTCTGGCAAACCTATCCTTGTAGGAACACAAGTCCTTGGTCTTGCCATTTGTGAATATATCACGAATGTATTCCCCAAATGTTAAGTTACATAACCCATGAATAGCAAGGGCCTGCAGTGTACTGTATGGTACACAAAATATTTCAAGTGTACCATTCATGAAATTTGTGCCTTGATAATACCAGATTATTTAGTACTGTATAGCTATTAAAATTTTGTGTTTAAATGTATAGTATGACTATATAATATTAGTAATTTCTTCTGCAGGTATTACATTGTAAAATTTTGAACATTGCAAATTTTACATTGTAAAATTATTTTGTGAATTAAATACTGTATATAAATATTCTGTGCTGTTTCCTTTGCCTTTCAATTATTCAGTGAAATGTTAGTGAATTGCAAACAAATTCTCCATATTTAACACTTTCATATAATTTTACTTGCTTGTACCAATGTCACTATTTTCATTTTAGCTTAACCCTTTAACATCTAAATGAACAATATAAGATTCAAGGATTGCTGGTAGAATGAACTACCAGCAATCTTTCCATTCACCTGGGCTATTTCCATGGAAGTCTGGATGACAATTTTGAACTGAAGATAGTTCCGTAGTAAACTACAAAATGCATACAAAGAATGTAGGCAAGTGAGAGAGAGTTTAGGGAGCCGGTCGGCCGAGCGGACAGCACACTGGACTTGTGATTCTGTGGTCCCAGGGTCGATCCCGGGCACCGGCGAGAAACAATGGGCAGAGTTTCTTTCACCCTATGCCCATGTTACCTAACAGTAAAATAGGTACCTGAGTGTTAGTCAGCTGTCATAAGCTGCTTCCTGGGGGTGGAGGCCTGGTCGAGGATCGGGCCGTGGGGACACTAAAGCCCCGAAATCATCTCAAGATAACCTCAAGATAAGTGTATTGGCTCTCACTCTCGGGGACACCACTTTCTGCCGTACAAACAACCTCTTAGCTTCGTCACAGAGTGTGTTTCCTCTTGGATTTACTTCTTGTGGAAGCCTTGCTCTACATACAGTTTTAGGAGAGACTAAAAGTATGTTCCACATTTTAAATGGAATTTAAAATGGATTTTAAATTCCATGAATAATGGGTCACCCATCAAATCACATACATAGGTCTACATGTGCAAGTTAAACGTTATCTACTAGACAGAGAACCTAACAGTAGTTAAATAATCCAGCTGAAAACACTTGAATGAAGTGGAAAAAGTTAAAGAATGAGAGCTAATATGTTGTACAACTACACACACATTCAAATATGAGGAAAAACAAATACTTTAAAACTAATAGTGTGTAACAAATATGTGAGCACACACAAAACATCGTCATATTACCCTTGACTCTTTCTGGCTCATCCTTTGTTTCATGGATATACATGTTCTGGTAAATACATAAAAATATCCAAAATCAAAGTTTATTGATAAAAGAATTAAGTTACTATACAGTATTAGTCTACATAATGTACAGCATACATTTTTACTTTGCAAAATGTAGTATTATACAACTAAAAAAAAAAGGGTAATTAATGCAAAAACAGATTCCAATAGTTCAACTAATGGCAACTTACAAAAATAGAATTAAACAAAACTAAATACTGTCACTGTAGACTATAACAAACCTCTGTGATAAGTTACATTGCATAATGTAATGCATATGCAATTTTGCATACGGTTAATACACTATACTGCATCTTGACATAAAAACATTTAAATCTGGTTGTAATTTAATTTGTTTGAATAGATTATATTTTAAATATTAAATCACATCGGTCTACATGTGCAAGTTGGACGTTATCTACTAGACAAGAGAACTGAACAGTAGTTAAATAATCCAACTGAATACTCTTGAATACAAAATACTGTACTATACAGTACTTGACAATGGGGAGACCTTTGACAGTATAGATTATATTTAATAACCATATGACTCCTTCACCACTAGGTAAACAAACTGGCTACATTATTCCTGAGGCTAATAACCCCACTACTAATAATGTTATATCATAATTTGTAAAAAAGAAAAAAGTTGATAGATTTGGGTTATAGATATGAGTACAGTATACAAGAATATGTAAACAAAAAATATACATTCTGTATATTATTTAACATATTTCTCCATGAAACGCTTATGAAAATCAGATCGAAGGGAGTCATTAATGAAGGCTTTTTCTGTTTTATCCGGCTCTGATGCAGCGCAGTTCTTGAAAACGACGTCGTCATCCCAACGTCTCTTGACTTTCATGTCAGACTTTGGGGCAGCAGCAAGGTTCAGTAAAGGATTACCCGATATGATGTTCTCCATCCTGATACGTTCTTCCTGTTCCTGACGTTCTTGTTGCTTTCTTGCCTCCTCTTCTGCACGCTCTCGCCGAATGCGCTCTAGCTCAGCAAACAGCACTGCTTCATCATCCGAATCATCAGAATCAGATGCATCATCATCATCATCTTGAGGATCATCAGCATCTAAGTTAGCTGGAGCTATCTGATCCAACCTTGGCTTTTTTGAGGAGGAGGAGGAGGAGGATGATGAAACACCTGATTCACGTATGGCATTACTGCTACTACCACTGCTGCTTCCACTCGTACGTTTATCTCTGGCTGCAGTACGCTCGCGGTCTTCCAATTCGCGGCGGAAGTCACGGCTGCGGAGTTCCTCAGTGGTAGACTGCCCATGGTCACGATACTTGAGCCGTGTGTGAGAAGGAAGATCACGAGCCGAGTACTGTTTGGACAAGGCACTTAGGTCACGCTCTCCTCGGCCCATGCCACCTTTGGCAGGTTCAAATGTTGGCCGTGCTGCGGTAGTCATGATTCTTAATGTCTACGCTGAAATTAAATCAGAAAATTTGAAGTAAGAATATATTAGATGCAGCAACACCAGTCCCTAAATGATTATTCAAATAATAATTTATCTAAAATTAACCCTTCAGGATTAGAAAATATTAAATTTTAGAACAAATGTAGATTTTATCTATGAAAAGGCCAAAATCTACCAGAACATACCTTCTCACTCCTGCAAGCCAAAAATAAGAATATACTACTCAGCATGCAACTCCACACAATCAGAGTAGAGTTCAAATCTCAACCCAAAAGAGACAGGCTGAAATGTCATATATGGTGGAAAATATTAGAGGGGCTGGTCCCAAACCTGCACACAGAAATAACATGAGACCAGAAGACATGGCAGGATGTGCAGAATACCCCCGTTGAAAAACAGAGGTGCAACTGGTACTCTGAGAGAGAACTCTATCAACATCAGAGGTCCGAGACTGTTCAACACGCTTCCACTACACATAAGGGGCATAACTGGCCGACCCCTCACAGTGTTCAAGAGAGAACTGGATAAGCACCTCCAAAGGATACCTGATCAACCAGGCTGTGACTCGTACGTCAGGCTGCGAGCAGCCGCGTCCAACAGCCTGGTTGATCAGTCCGGCAACCAGGAGGCCTGGTCGACGACCGGGCCGCGGGGACGCTAAGCCCCGGAAGCACCTCAAGGTATGGTAATTGTACAATGCAGATATAATTACAGTACCAATATTTTATATTACTGTATTTTAAGAAATGTTCGAATGAATTCTACATCATAAATGTTGACAGAAAGACATGACTGGGTGCTGTACAATTTGGACATAGGGCCCATGGGGCTCTATTCATATAACAAGACAACATAAGACATAAATTCTTATCACTAATTTGCCGGAAAACTTTACAAAATCACATTGGAAAATGGTACGGTCATTTTGTACACCAGACAATTCGACAAAGCTCATTTTACTAATTTACTGTTATGTTCTGGTAGCATTACTAAATTATAACTTTGTGATTTCTTTGTTATTAAAAAACTATTGTATTGTTGCTAGAACTACAGACTTCATAATGATAATGTTTGTCTCACTATTATCACCTTCATATATCATTTGTTATATTACTTGAACATTCTCACTTATGTTAGCTTACTTCTATTTTAGTATTGAATGTTTACTCCTTTAAATAATTATTGATCTAAATTATCCTAAGTTTTCATAACAGTGGCTTTATTTGTATGTGTAACTCCTGCCCCTGCAATTCTCCCTTCCTCTTTTGCTCTTTGTACACACATTTTTATGAATAAAATTTTTTTATGAATATTATTATTATGTGGGCCAGGGTGTAGCTTAAGTTAGGCTGTATTAAGCGAGATTTGGTTGGTTAGGGTAAAGTTAGGTTTCAAATTTTGTTGGCGAATTGTCTTGCGAGAGCCTCTTGAATCACTCCATATAAAAAGATTATTGATATGTATATGCCTACATATATGTGTAATATAAAAAACTGTAACTTGCTTCACAAGAATCTCACTTGCTTAGCTAAACTATGGGGTTCACTTCCTGAACCCATTATGTGCCAATGTAACCCTTTCCACCACCGCCCACGGGACGGGTATGAGATGAATAATAATGAAATGAATCTGAACCTGTACAATGTAAATCATATCTTTGAAAACAGTGAGATACTACAATGAAAGTTTACGTTGGTTCGTCTGGCCGAGATTTTGAACTGTGTCACTTCAAAATTCCCCCACACACAATGGGGAGACCTTTGACAAGCCGGCGGCATCGTGTTCCCACAAAGGGAACACTAGACAGTAAACCTCAGGTAAACTCTCTCAGTAATCCTACACCTGGCCACGAGTGAAGGCCATAGAGTATACCACACGCTTTTCATAAATAATTAATTATAACTATAATACATACCGTCTACACTTGGATGTGGTGAAGGGACAGTCACCTAAATGTCGGGAATGTGTCTTATTATATGCAAATTATTACTAAATGTTGAGAAGGACTCCTCGCCTTGTTGTTGTTTATGAGGAGTAACAAGCCTAAACGTCTGCACGGGGCACTCGCCTATTAAATAATACTCATTATGGAACATCATACTTAATTGAGTGTCTAGTCTAATATTATAAATTTTATATATCTTTATTTTAGTCTTATTATTCTATGGTTTTCCTAGTCATATTTGATACAGAAACTCGCGTCCACGGTTAGTTAGTTTAGTTCATTTATTATGCATCCCATACCCATCTTGTGGGTGGTAGTTGGGGGTTAGTTCGTATACTTCTAGCCAGAGAAAATACAGTCCTCGCTACAAGCCCAAGTATGTATTCATAGGCTTCCTGTCCCCGATAAAACAAACTATATCAATATTAATTATCAGAATTAGGCTTTACGTATGGCAGGTAACTAATCTCTCTACACTATATAAGCACTATAATTGTAATAGGCTGTGAACAAGAACATTGTGGAACCCGCCGGCTTCCTATCCTTGTGGATATATATATTTATATCCACAAGGATAGGAAGAAGGTATATTGGGTTTATGGGAGTACATGACATTGATGTTTTTTACATTCTTGTAAAGCCACTGAAACGCTTTCGGGCAGGTCCTTAATCTAACAGTGGTGACCAGCCCGCGGTCGTGTGCGGTTGCACTGTAAGCGCTCTTTGATATTGTGAAATTGTGCTCAACTGTTCCAGTTAAACAGTGCATTTGCGTGGTGGGGAAATGGCAGAGGCGGTCTGCCTCACTAATAGACAATCGTGCATTAGGACTGACAATTATGAGAGTGAGGATGACTTACAAGTACAAGATGATACCAGGCCGTATCAAGCAGCAATGACCAAAAAGGAAACAGCGTGCTTTTCACTGACAGCGAGACAGTGATAGTGAAGAAATAAAAAAAGAGACAGAACAATTGCTGAGGGGCAGTTCCTCAGAGGCAACAGTACCTGTGACTATTATTAAATGCTAATGATTATTATAGAATTTTTATTTATTTACACGGAGCTTTTGATAAAGCCCAAAAAGAGGTTATCTTATATGAACTAGCTGGTCTTGGTGTTAAAGGAAGATTATTGCGCTGGATAGGGGATTATCTTTACGAAAGGAAGGTTCAGGTGTGGTATCAAGGTTGTATGTCAGGTGTGAGGTCTTTTGAACTCCCGTGCTACGAATGATATACTTGAGTATTGTAAGATCTCTTATTGATTATGCTGCACCTGTCATTTCTTAAAGGTAGAATGGGCAAGTTGGAGAAGGTACAAAATAAAGCCATGAGAATTCTTAGAATTTCTTTTCTTTTCAAAAACTTCTTTGTAAGAAATGCTATGATTGAGATAATGAGGATGGAGTTGAATCTGAAAAGTATTGGGGATAGAATTTCAAAGATAAATGTAGCCTCTGCCATTAGATTAATGAGAGGTGGTGGAGCTAATGAATTAATCCTCTCAGTTCAAAAGGTGGGACGTAATGAACAATGTATTATAAAGAAGTGAGCATATATGAGTACATTATGTTCTAATGTTATAAAGTATGATGTTATTACAGAATGTATTACTCTGCCCAAGAGACAATTCACACCACCATGGAAAGCAGTGATAACAGTCACAGGCAGCCAAAGTATTCTGTTAAGTCACTCATAATTGTAGTATTTGAGTATACTGCAGCCTAGCCTTTGGATGCATAATATGCGGTAAATACATTAAATGTCAAAACTCAAATACCACCAGTAGTGAACATGAAACACATGTTTATAATGAAAGTTTATTTTAAGTAAATAACTATTTCATATACAGTACAGTAATATAACCTACGTAATATACAGCTGTATTTACTTTCATATTCAACTGTAAAACTTGAAAGAAGCAAGTTAATGAAAACCGAAACAATTTATACATTACTAGAATAAAGACAATAAAATAGTATTATAAAACAAATACGCAAAATATAAAACAAAATTTTTTACCTTCTTAATAATGCTTGAATATGACTTTCTCTTTGTTTAAAAAAATAATTTTCAATCTAAATCTTTCACGTTTGTAAAGAGTACAAAACATTTTTTAAACTCGACCCTTACCAACTGGTCGAACAATTTTTATGTAAGAACTACATTAAGTAAAATATTTATCCATAAAACGCTTATGAAATTCAGATCGTAAGGTGTCATTAATGAAGGTTTTTCCTTGTGGCTCTGAAGCAGCGCAATTCTTGAAGACGACATCTTCATCCCAACGTCTTTTGACTTCTATTGGAAGCCGTGCAGGGGCCTTGGCAAGGTTCAGTAAAGGATTACCAGATACGATGGTCTCTATCCTGATACGTTCTTCCCGTACCTGACGTTCTTGTTCCTCTCTTTCCTGCTGCTCCACACGCAATCGCCGAATCCGTTCCAGCTCGCGAACGAGCTCTTCTTCGTCAGAATCCTCGTCGGAGTCGGTGTCATCGTCGTCCTGGGCATCGTCCTCATCTAAATTGTCTAAAACATTCTGGTCGTACTTTTTCTTTTTGGAAGGTGGTGATAAGGAACTTTCTAAGTCCCCCCATTCGTTGATACCACCAGTAGGGCCGCTCTTGCGTTTTTTGCTTTCACCAGTAGTACTGTTCTTGCGTTCATCGCTTCCACCAGCACGTTCGCAGTCCTTCAATTCTTGGATGGTCAACTCTCTTGGGGCACGGAGCTTGACTCGTATGTGTGAGGGAAGGTCGCTAGCTGGGTACTGTTTGGTCAAGCCGTTCTTTCGTGTATCGCTTCCACCGGCACGTTCCCGGTCCTCCAATTCGCGACGGAAGTCCCGGTGGTGGAGTTCTTGGATGGTTGACTGTCCAGGGGCACGGAACTTGAGTCGTTTGTGTGAAGGAAGGTCGCGAGCAGAGTACTGCTTGGTTAAGGCACTCACATCACGCTCTGCTCGGGCCATACCACCAACGGCGGGTGCGAATGTTTGTCGTGTTGCGGTGGACATGACTAGGAACAGGGCGGGCACAGGTGACAACAAGCTTCACTGAGCGTGTCTATGCGTATGTGTATTATGAAACTACTAAAGAATATATATAGGGAAGCGAGGTGAGGTGTCGGGTGATTATTGGCAGTCACATGACAAACAAGAATGAAGGTAACTGCAGAAAGCCTATTGGCCCATACGTAGCAGTTCCTATTTATATCTACCCAAACTCATTCACATATATGTCTATATGTGAATGAATGATTGACCATTCTCAATCGACTTGAGAATGGTCCAGGACGGACCGAAACGTCGTCGTCCCTTCGATTGTTTCAAGCGTGGATTGGACATGTATTTGAGTGGGATTGGGTGGTTATAAATAGAAGCTGCCTCGTATGGGCCAATAGGCCTTCTGCAGTTACCTTTGTTCTTATGTATTCAAATAGGTCAGCTGCAGCGGTGCCAAGTCAACGCCCCTCCTACCAACTGTGGTAGGCCGTGGATGTGTGGATTGGCCAGAAATGCAGGCGATGAGTCACAATAACGTGGCTGAAGTATGTTGACCAGACCACACACTAGAAGTTGAAGGGACGACGACGTTTCGGTCCGTCCTGGACCATTCTCAAGTCGATTGTGTTTGTGTTTGCGTAACTTCTTCGTGAATCTAGCCCGTGAATCCATCATGTGGGAATACTGTTGAATGAGGTAGTTGATGACAGCGAAGAGAGCCACTGAAAAAACTCTTGTTGATGTTGTATGTCAGTTAACCTTGAAACAAATAAAAACAAGACTCAAGGTGATTCAGGAGGGTGAAGAAATGATAAAGAGAATGGCAATGGTGGACAGTAGTAACACACTTAAGAATTATTCAATAATAAATACAAATTCGTCCTTCACTTATGGTAAAGGAAAGTCTACTTGGAAGGATTCAATTTACATGAGATTACGATTAGGATATAAATATATTTGGCAATACGGTGTTGATGTCAGTGAAAAAGATAAGGAGTGTAAATTATGTAGTATGCCGTACGCCCACACCTTAGAACATTATGTATTAGAGTGTCACCTTATTGAAAAATATAGAAATAAGGAAATAAATAGTGTACCACATCAAATTGTTTGGATGTGTGATAATGGTATAATAGACAGTATACTTAGGAGCTACAAGAATTTTGCCCCAAGAATGTAACAATTATATGCTGTATGCAATGTTAAATGGGATTCTTGTACTGTTATATGTCTATTTGTACTCACTGAATTTGTGCGCCCCTTGAGGGACTTGAAGTAGAGGGGGGTAGAAATAGCCTAAGCTACTCTATCCCTTTGAGATGTATTTATTGCTTATCTCAATAAACATACTTGAACTTGAACCTTGGTATAAGCCTAACATGTATATATACACTGGCTGCCTGTCCCCTACAAAATGATTTATTATTAACTATTATATACAGTATACCCGGCTAAAGCAAACACAGTACAGTTTCGTCATAAGAGATTCCTAGATTGGAATTTATTATCAAATTTCAATATATCAAAGTATTTTTAGTGTGAAATGCTGATATTTTATGCATCATTTGTTGTTTTAATTGATATAATGATATTCTTAACAGCAGATAAAAGAAAAGTAATTGTTACCTAATACCAGAATAGTATAAAATTTAACATAAGCTACGGGATTTGTGGATCAGTGTTTAAAGGGAATTCGGAAGTAATAATAATACAGCTGATGCCATCTGTTAGCAAAAGAGAACACTATCAACTGGCTGCTCAATAGTAGCAATAAGATACAGCTTACGCCATCTGTTGACATCAAATTGCACTTATAACAAATTATCCCACAAAATACAACTAGCGACATCTCTTTTTTTTCCAACGCACTATAAATAGCCAAACAGCAATCCATAAGGCGGGTTGTTGTGCTCGGGTAGGAAGTTCCAAGCTCCGCCCCTAGATGGTATGGGGTGCATAATAAATGGCATATCATTGGAAGATATTCTTTGTTGACATTCACACAACAGCCAATCACAGGAAGGGATCAGGTAAAGGCTCCATCCACTTAATAAATCATCTTTATTCAGCACACCATCCTTGCCTATGATATTCTGTTTCAACTTTAATCGACCTAAAAAGTGAAGGGTTAAGTATTTATAAGCATTAATAAAGTGACAATTAAATACTGCAGGATGTAACGGGTGTTACAGAAACATGGGCTGGCTACCTGACTTGTGACGTCATCAGTGGGGGTTGCCTCACGCAAATAATATCGATGATACAATGCTCCGTTCTCTTATTGAACTCTATTATTCAGTTAGATGGAAATTTCTGTCTTGTACATAACGAAGAGGTTGTGTTTGAAATAAAGAGATTTTTGTGCGAAAAGACTTATTTCTTAGTTTGCATACAATTTACAGAAAGAGTGTTGCCATTCCTAGCAACAGCCAATCACAGGAAGGTATTTGCTAAAAGTCCGTCTCCTTATCGACGTCCTCAGGAGCGACACCGATCTAGCTTATGGCTTACTGTTTCATCTCTTGTAGATGAAAAATATGAATATTTCGATTACTATGATTATTAAATGTATGAGATTATAACAGTTGTTACACAAAATGGCTAAATTTTGTCATTAAAAAGAGCTTATAGTGGATTTTGTAATAGAGTTTTATGGAAAGGGAGTTATACAATTTTTCTAAATATCTTCTGATATGGATGCTACTCTATCTCAAAGGGATAGAGTAGCTTAGGCTATTTCTGCCCCCCTCTTCTTCAAGTCCGTCAAGGAACTCACAAATTCAGTGAGTACAAATACACAAATCACAGTACAAGAATCCCATTTAACATTGCAAAAATAATATATTTTAGGAGTAAATCCTTGTCTATGTTAATATTTATTAAACATTTAGTGTACATTACATATAGGGGTACAAAGATGATTATCATAAGTTGTCGAGTTCCTCCAAGTCCTTCAGATGGCGGGCAGGAACCCTGAATGCAGTGAGCATTTCCCCTCTGTTTCGTCACGCTGAGATGCTGGAAAAGGAAGCTTGCAGCTCTAGGGTCCTTTGTTGTTTCAATGAGCTTGGAACCCAGTTCCTTCAATAATATAATATAATTAAATTATATTTTTCTTTGACCTTCTATGAGGCTATGGGTCCCTATAATTGCATCAGAGGTGGTATTCCCCTATATATAATTAAATATAATATAATTAAACAAAATAATTCTTTGACCTTCTTTGAGGCTATGGGTCCCTATAATTGCACCAGAGGTGTACGTACTCCCCTATATATAATTAAATATAATATAATTAAATATAATATAATTAAATAAACAAAATAAAACACACAAAAATAAGTTTATATAGCACTGAACGTCACAACCGAGGTATCCGTAAGGCACAGTTTACAAATCCGGATTTTCACTACAAAAACGGCAATGTTATTGTGTTCCTCCCGCCAGCTGTGGCCGAGGTGTTCCAGGATGAAAACATGTCTTCCAGGACTGAGCGTTCTAGAGAGGAGATATTGTCGTGCTTGTCAAAGTGTTTCGGACATGAAACGTTCAGAAGTGACCTGCAGAGGCGAGCTGTTGAGGCTGTCGTTAAAGGTAATGGGGGGGCCTACAAAGTTTGTTTATCTGTGTTTGCTAACAAACTTGTTTACAAACTTTTTAAGGTTAAACAAAAAAAATATCAATAGCTATGAATTTTTTTTATCCGACATATACTATTTTTTATTAAAAAACTAATCAATATTATTATTTGCTATACACGTATTTTTGCTTGTGAGACTCAATTAATACAAATAAATTGTTGATTTTTTTCTGTAGGAATTATTAATTAATAGTAAGATCAGCTTGATAACATTTACTTGCGTGATAATATTATAGCTACATGAGATATAATATTTCGAAGTTGATGGTAATGGCTGTGCTCAAGCTACGGGTGACGTTGACAGGTGGGCAGGATGTGTTTGTGTCGATGCCGACTGGGTCGGGCAAGTCCCTGTGTTACCAGCTGCCAGCGGTGATGTCCCAAGGGCAGGTGGCCATTGTCATCTCCCCACTCATTGCCCTCATCAAGGTATGTACTACCCTTTTATCTCATTTTATCTAGGTATTTTCGGCTTGCTTTGTGTTCTTCTACCATTGTATATGAATATCAATTTCCATTGTTTAATTTAATAGTTGTTCGAGAAATTAATAATTAGATATACTGTATATCGTTTGTGTACCTTTATTTATTAAGGAGAGGCTTCTTCTTTTCACAACTAGGTCTGAAAATCTATTTCTATGTTGATGGCTTAATCAAGAAGGCTGTTTCTATTTGCACCCCCACATACAGTACTGTAATTACGACATCGTGGTTGGTAGATAATAGTTTCATCAAATCATTTTCACGTCTAATTGACTCATGGAAAGGTTGATTGATTCATCTAGTTGATGCTTCTGTTGTTTTAATGTTGAGCTGTTAATGTTTTCTCCTATTGTTGCTTAGTTTAGATTTTATTTTAAAATACTCTATAAATTTAGTAGTTAAATTTAGTGTCTTTATGTACCAAAACATGGTAGAATGAGATATAATCAGGTATTTCTTCTACATGTCTTTCCTCATACTTTAATGTTATATTTCCACTTGCCAGTGCTTGCCCAGTTATTACTCATATTATAGCTAATAAACTTTTCACTGATACAGGAACTATAAAAAATACTGTGTATGATTTCCATTTCAAATGACCAGACTCCATATTATGAGGGATGTACACTGTGCTATGTTTTCACCTGCAAACACAATACCACTTAAACACACATTTACATGAGGGGGTGATTTGACACCACAGCAAATGCTGTTTACTAGAGATATTCTACATGTGAGTACCAAATGCTGTGATGTGTATTACACCCTGTGATGTTGCATTACATTACATTACATTTTGTAAATCACCAGGTGCTTACATGGTTATGTATATGATAGTGACATCGTTGAGCTGCCTTGTAATTGAAATTGGTCTGTTTTTGTAAGAGAAAACAAACAAATAGAAGTAATGAAGGCAGATAGGAAGTAATAATGGCAGATAAGATGGTAAGATAATGTTTTAGAGTTAATGAGAAGCTAATTGCTGATTATGATTGCAATGTAGATATTTCTTAAGAATATAACTTTTAGTGAAAGATAAGTAGTTAGGGGGGACAAATAACAAGTGCATTGAATAACTGTCTATCTCAGCTCAGGGCTTAATGCTACCTTGGTTACCTTGAGGTTACCTTGAGGTGCTTCCGGGGCTTAGTGTCCCCGCGGCCCGGTCGTCGACCAGGCCTCCTGGTTGCCGGACTGATCAACCAGGCTGTTGAACGCGGCTGCTCGCAGCCTGACGTATGAGTCACAGCCTGGTTGATCAGGTATCCTTTGCTCATCAGTATCATGAAAGAAATACAGTATTATGCATTCCTCAGTCAAACCACTTGGTTGTTTTCTGAGGTCTTCCACTTGGTTGCTGCTGCGGGCTGTGCTTGTAATGTTACACTGGGTTGCCGGGCCAGTGAGCTAGAATAAGTTTAACCCATTAGCCACATAATTGAGTAATGTTCACCTGTTTACCACATCACCTTTGTCATAAATAACTACTATATGTTTCACATGGATGGCACAATGTTAAAGAAATTGTTCACAACCTCTGTAAGACTAAAATTGGAATATACAGTGGTTGTATGGTGCCCATATCTCAAGAAGCAGATCAATAAATTACAAAAGGTGCAAAGACATTTAACTAAATAGCCCGGGAACTATGTCAAAAAAGTAGTACAGTACTACTACGAAAAAATAGTAAAAGCTACGAAAAGAAGTTAGCGGTGTTAAGTATACCAAAGCTAGAAGACAAGCAAAAGAGGTGATATGATCACTACCTGTATATGCAAAATAGTAACTGGAATTGACAATGTTGACAAAGAAAATTTTTTGAAAACTGCAAGTTCAAGAACAAGAGGACTAAGGTTCAAACTAAGGAAACAAAGCTACCAAAATTGTGAACATTCACTAGGCAAACAGTGATAGATGGTTGGAAGAAGTTATAATAACCATAATAATTAATTAAAAAATATACATAAGAATATTATGCAGAGGGTTTAATAATTGTTATAGAATATGTACGTTTAATAAGGCACTAATATACAAAGCATTTCAGGCATAACAGTGAAAGGTGGTGGAGGCCAAAACCATCAGTAGTTTCAAAGTGTCACATGACAAAGAGATGGGACACCACGAGAATCGGGGTTGAGTCCCCGATTATTCTGTACAAAGAGTGGTGTTTGTTTTTATAATTCAGAATGTAATAGGGCTGGAGGCAGAGGACTTATTGATGGCTTTGGAGTTGCTATCTGGTGGTGGTGGTGAGTGGGGTTGCAGCCTAGTGGGAAACTAGACTAGCAATTAAGTGAGAGCACTATCCGATGGCCCCTGTGATGCTAAGATAGGCTAGGAAAAGCTTTGTTGAATATTTATGAGTATAATGTATTTATTTGTGATCATTCTGGGCGTAACAGAGTTCTTCTCCTGTGCCTTCCAACTGCCGGTACAGCCCAGTAGCAACATTTTTGAAAGATCGCTGCTGTGCATTAGCAGAATGTCACTATGTCTTGACGATCATGAATTTGTCTAATGAGACATTCAATGAGGTTGCTTTCAGGAGCATCCAAATGTCATGCTTGGAAAGTAGTTTTTCATATCCACTCAAAGCTTGTTTTTGTGGCTATATTCCTGGGTTACCTACAATATTAATATGACTTATTCATAATTTACAGCCTTGTGTCATAGAATTTGGTTCAATTACATTATACTGAAATATATTATAAATTATTTATGCTTTATTCTGCAATGCTATATTTTGAATTTAATATCTTTTAGGATCAGTTGGAACACCTTCAAAAGATACGTATTGTTGCCGAGTCCATCAACTCTAAGATGACGAGCAAGGAGCGTAAGAGAGTGCTGGCAGATCTGTCATGCATGACGCCCACCACAAAGCTTTTGTACATTACACCGGAACAAGCCTCAACAAATTTTTTCAAGGTATGCAGGTTTAATGATATCCTCATGTAACTGATGTTTCTACCTAACATGCAACTTCATATTCTCATACTGGGATACTGTAACTTACTTAACCCCTGCACTCCGCACCTGGTTTTGGCAAAAACGTCTTGGGGCAATTGTCAAGGACATATTCTTGTTGTTTACATAAATATTCTGATAAATTTAATGTCAAAATGTTTCCAAACTCAACTATTTTCACTTAAAAACACAAAGAGTAATGAAAACATTAAAAAACATTAAAATATAGCCTAATTAAAAAAAAATAGCACAACTCTCAGAGCGCCTAAAGGCGCTTTGCGCAGTGCAGTGGTTAAAGCATCCAGGGGTCATAATTAGCACAGGTCATGTTTCCTACACTGCAATGTTTCCTCCAACCACACAAGAGCCTCCATGAAGAGACGATTAGTTAAATGACTTTGGATTGTTTTACTGAATTTGCTAACTAGTCTAAATAGTTATATCAAGGTGAGTTCAGTAATTAGTTCCATGGGGCAAGATTGATCATGTACCAGGAATGTTGTTACCCCCTTCTGCTACTTATTATCATAGTGATATAGACTGAACAGTTTCATATATTCCATGTACAGTATAGTACTTATATTTTCATTTAATATTCTAAAGTTCTTTGAACAAAAGTTTGCCTAAATTAATTAATTTATTTATTTATTTATATACAAGGTACATTGGGTTTGTGAGAATACATAGCATGGTATTTACAATCTTGTAAAGCCACTACAGTAGTACGCGCAGCATTTCGGGCAGGTCCTTAAATTGTTAAAATTAAGTTTACAGACTTTGCAGATTTATTTACTTACCAAGACACACATGTAAAATTTGCAGTTGAGGAAAAAATCATTAATTTTGTGGAGGTAAACTTAATAGTCTTAGAGTTGTGTCCATTCTTTGTCTGCTTAAGATTTTAAATTTTAAGGCCTATTGACAGCCAGAATCATTGAGGCCACAATCTAGCTTGGTTTCCAACCCACAAGTGCGATATACTTTAGTCCTGAGCAGAGTTGAAGACTAAAGTAAACTTTGTGTATACACTACACTGAGAAGTAGACTAGTATACTTTGTGTATTGGACTGGGAAGAATGCCTGCCCTAACCACATAAAACTCTGATGTCTTTGATCCTGTATTACTAGTTTCATCATTATATGTATTTTTGCAAAGTATATAATTGTATGCAGCAAGGAACGTTCCAGCCTTTAAACATTTCTTGGGGTTCACTCAGAGTGTCTATGTGGCACATTTTGCATCTAATATGCAGGTATATTTGTGACATCAGCAATCCTGTATTTGTCAGCTATGAAATGGTTCAATTACAGAACTGCAGCTGTATATTTTGCAGGAATAAGTTATTCCCTCACTTTTTTAATTATTTATCAGGGCCTTCTTGATCAGCTGTACAAGTACAACAAGATTTCGTACTTTGTGGTGGATGAGGCACATTGTGTAAGTCAGTGGGGCCATGATTTCCGACCAGATTTCCTGCGTCTGGGGTATTTGAGGAGCAGAATACCAACGATTCCCTGGATAGCGCTAACTGCTACTGCAACAGCCAAAGTAAGTCAAACTAGTGATCTGAAGTGTGCCGTGATTTATCTACTTATAAACACACCATGACTTCATGTATCACATAATTCTTCGACTCAGAAGTGCAGTGTGCCCGACCACTTGGACTGGATGGTAGAGCGGCGGTCTTGCTTCTTGCAGGTCGCTGTTTGGTCCCTGACCATCTATGTGGTTGGGCACCATTCCTTCCCTTCGTCCTATCCCAAATCCTTCCTTCCATGTGCTATATAGTCATAATGGCTTAGTGCTTTCTCTTGATAATTACATTACATTGTGTGTCATACAGTCATCAATTCAGAGTTGCACCATGACTCTATGTCACACAAGTCATCTATCCACTCAGCTGTAGTATGAGTTTAGGACTCTGTTTATATATTTAGATCTGTTAAGTGATCATAATGTTATATGAACAAAGCTGTGATCATCAGACTAGGCTGTCTACAGCAATTTGCTTATATTGTAATATATTATTACTGTACTTTATACTACATTGTGTTTTTTTTTTATTTTTGTGAGTGCATACTTCAACAAAGAGAGAGAGAGAATATATACTGAGTATATGTACTGAGAATATATACTATACTGAGAGAGGGAATGATTTATTATTGGAGTTTATTGACTCGCTTGTAAATGCCTTGTTGTTTAAGACGAGTGTGTTGCACATTTATTCACTCTACAGGTTGTTGATGACATATATCTTCAGTTGAAGCTCAAGAAGCCAGTTGCAAAGTTCAAGTCATCTTGTTTCCGCTCAAATTTATTTTACGATGTACAGTTTAAAGACGCCTTGGATGACCCATTTGAAGAGTTGAAGGACTTTGTTATTAAATCATTGGGAAGTAATTGGGATCAAAATAGAACAGTAAGTATTACTTTCAGTAAATCAAAGGTTTTGACTGTTGTAAATGAGGCCCGGATAAGAAGGGAAGAAGGGAACTGAGAGTGATGAGGAAGGATAGGATGAGGTAGTGAAAGAAATTTAGAAATTAAAGCATTAATTAAAAGGTAAAGAATGATGTTCTTTTTTGCTTAGTAATACTGTACTTGGAAGAGGTTCAACATTAGCCACTCTGCTGGATACTAACACCGAGAATATTTCAGAATATGGGTGATGAGTATAATAGGAGATTTTACAGCAATTTTGGAGGAAGAGAATTTAAACAATTGAATCTTGATGTATATTGGAGGTTTACACAAATTATTTGATTCTGTTAACCAACTTTTACACTTAACTACTGGTATTTGAGATAGATGTAATCAATATTTTGAACCAGTAGTTATCAAGGTCTTTCCAGAATCGAAACTTATCCAGTTTGTGTCCATTGTTTCGTAATCTATTTTGCGTTGATATATTTAATATATATACAGTACTGTACCTTATTTATGCGAAGAATCCACAAAGAAATAGGAAAGGAAGATGAACGTTTCCGCTGTTTAAAGCCATTGTCAACACCAGACTGCAATTTGGTGTTGACAACATCTGGTGTGACAATGTCACACCAGACTCTCACCAATCTGGTGTGAGTCTGGTGTTGACAACGGCTTTAAACACCCGAATCGTTCATCTTCCTTTCCTATTTCTTTGTGGATTTTCCGCATACAAATGATCAGTGTTTTGTAATCGTCAATTGCATACCTTATTAATTTCATGTCATTATGGGGCTTGCTATTTTTATTGTACAGTATAGAACTTGTTGTTATAATGATATGTATGAAGTTATTATTATTAACTTTTTCTTGTATTAACATGCACAGTAATGTACTAAAAATTAAGTTAATTATATATGTACAACCATTTATGAATAAAGTTCTAAAATTTTGAGTTGAATTTGAATTAGTATTGCTATATTTTCAAAATACTGTAATTGGATACACATTTTTTAGCTTGTGTTATAAGCTCAATCTTTATCCAAAAGATATAAAAAGCTTTTTATAATTTTAAATCATTTTAACTCGCTGCAGGAAAAGTCTGGGTGTGGCATCATTTACTGCAGGACAAGAGACGCGACGGCTGAGTTGGCCAGTCAGCTGTCCAAGAAGGGTGTGCCCACCAAAGCTTATCATGCAGGTAATTCTGAGTTAGTGTATTGCTCATTGTATATACTGTACTGTAATTCTGTGCTATATACAGGCGACGAGTCACAATAACGTGGCTAAAGTATGTTGACCAGACCAAACACTAGAAGGTGAAGGGACGACGACGTTTCGGTCTGTCCTGGACCGTCCTGGACTTGAGAATGGTCCAGGACGGACCGAAATGTCGTCGTCCCTTCACCTTCTAGTGTGTGGTCTGGTCAACTGTGTTATATACTTATAGCACAGCCATATACTAATATTCTGTGTAATTGTATTGGTCATTGCATATACTGTAATTCTATGTTATTGTATTGCTCAATGAATATACCATAAGTTGGTAATTACGACACTGGTTAAGACTGTGCTCATTTGATCCTATATGCCATGGTAATTGAGTTCTAGATAATTGTTAACATATGGAATTATTTTATTAGCATTTATTTAGCAATTTTTGTATCCATTAATACATAGTAAGACTGTGAAACAAGGAATTGAGGGATGTACAGAAAGCTGCATTCAGCATGTGGAAATATTGTTTACTTGTGATTTGAGTTGGTTGGTGATCAAGTAGAATTTGATGATAATTTTCACAGGTTTGAAAAGCCGAGAGCGAGCTCAAGTTCAAGAAGATTGGATGGATGGGAAAGTTCCAGTGATTACTGCAACGGTGTCATTTGGTATGGGAGTTGATAAAGCCTCGGTCAGGTTAGTTGCATATTTGTCATGCAAGTTAATTAAGTATGTATCAATTTAGTTGCATACGTTGCATAGGAGTTATATATACAGTAATAATAATTTTATTTACTAAACACCTAGAACATGATACGATGGTTAAATTGGTAGTTAAATAAATACATATGTTACAGTAATAAATAAATTAAGAGCTTTTATTTAAGGAGTATAAAAATAACTTGTCATCAGTGCTTTAATGAAACTGGAATGGAACGTTAGTTCAATGTAAATGGCAAAAAATAATCCTGACATTGTTTAATTTCCATTGTGTTATTTTGAAACATAAGGAGCAGTTACATAAATTTTTATAACATAGTACATTAGTGTTGTTTGGTGTGATAACAGGTTTGTAGCCCATTGGAGTGTCCCTCAGTCGATGGCAGGATATTACCAAGAGTCCGGTCGTGCTGGCCGAGACGGAAAGTTATCAAGATGTAGAATATATTACAGTAAGAAAGAAAGAGACACTGTGATGTTCCTCTTAAACAAGGTAAGCTATATGATCTGTCACTCACGCCATAAAAATGTTAAAATGTAGTGTTAACACGATATTGTTAACATTGTTAACACTGGAGGCCATCCTTTCTACCTCCGACAATCCTTTCTGTTGGGGGTCACGGTCACTTTCACCTTCAGGTATATGCAGGCGATGAGTCACAATAACGTGGCTAAAGAAATTTGACTAGACCACACACTAGAAGGTGAAGAGACGACGACGTTTCGGTCCGTCCTGGACCATTCTCAAGTCGATTGTGACTTGACAATGGACTTGAGAATGGTCCAGGACGGACCGAAACGTCGTCGTCCCTTCACCTTCTAGTGTGTGGTCTGGTCAAACCTTCAGGTATATTTAATACTGCATGTTATGTTTTGGTGGTGACCTTGTTTAACCTGTGTCTCACCATGAAGCTTGTGCAGCATTGGGCTAGGGCTCTGCTTTATCAGTAGGGAAGGTCTATTATCTCAGTTGGGAAGGTTTATTCTCTCTGCAGTGTGGATAACATTTAAATTATATCTTTATCTAGAGGAGTTTGGCTCTGTGTCTATGATTATGCAGTGGTTCAATGGTGTTTTGCCTCAACAGGGATGGGACCTCACAGTCTTTCCTGTCGTAGCCATGGCTTTTCTTCTGGCTTCTTAGGATTTAATCCTTATATCAGTTCACATTCACTGGATGTCATATGTGGTATTGGACAGTCTCTCCTGTTCTCATCAAGTAGGCACAGAGCTGGAGCTGGACAATGTCTCCTTCTAATGCATATGTGTCATATTTAGCGTTCCTCAGGTGGATCTGTTTGCATCCATGTGCATCAACACGCTCATTAAATCAAGATAATTTTACTGATCTTGACTGAAACTAGTGGAAGATAGCTTATTTGTTTCCCCTGGTCTAGATGCTTTTTGATATCCTTTAACAACTAGAAAACTGCAGCAGTCACACTACAACACCTGGTGTAGTGCAGCTGCTGTAAGGAAGCTGCAGTGACTGCTCCACACCACCTGGTGTAGTGCGGCTGCTATAAGGGAGCTGCAGCGGCTGCACCACACCACCTGGTGTAGTGCGGCTGCTGTAAGGAAGCTGCAGCAACTGCTCCACACCACCTGGTGTAGTGCAGCTGCTGTAAGGAAGCTGCAGTGACTGCTCCACACCACCTGGCGTAGTGCAGCTGCTGTAAGGAAGCTGCAGCAACTACTCCACACCACCTGGTGTAGTGCAGCTGCTGTAAGGAAGCTGCAGCGACTGCTTCACACTGCCTGGTGTAGTGCGGCTGCTGTAAGGAAGCTGCAGCGACTGCTCCACACTGCCTGGTGTAGTGTGGCTGCTGTAAGGAAGCTGCAGTGACTGCTCCACACCACCTGGTGTAGTGCGGCTGCTGTAAGGAAGCTGCAGTGACTGCTCCACACTGCCTGGTGTAGTGTGGCTGCTATAAGGGAGCTGCAGCGACTGCTCCACACCACCTGGTGTAGTGCGGCTGCTGTAAGGAAGCTGCAGCAGCCACACCACACCACCTGCTTCATTACTGCAGCAGCTCTTCACATAACTCTGCCATACAGGTGAGTTGTACCCTTGTTATAACCGTAACTAGCCTGGAATAGTAGGCATCCATCAGTCTCAGGAGACTATGGAGTTGCATACTGGCGTCGGCCTGGTCTGGAGTGGCCTCACCAGGGCGCAAAGCCAGGGTAGGTTGATTCGAGGGAGAAGCTGTTACCCAGGCAGCAGGTCCCCCCTCTCCACGGCGCTGAAAGTCTCCACACTTCCTGACTTCCTAACTAGCCTGACTTCCACTGATATTGACCTTGGGAAAGAGTTGAGTGGGACTGATGACAACTCTAGCTCTGAGTGTCCAGCACTAGTGTGTGAAAAGCACTTTTCTGAGCAATGCATTTGGTTGTGTCTTTTTAATGTGCTTCCCACATTGCTAAAAAGTGCTTTAATTACTACAAAGCTGTGTACTATGTATAAGATTTTCTTATTTTATTACTTTTAAGTGAAAATACATCTGTTCTTATTGGTTACAAGAATTCATAAGAATTAAATTGTTCTCATAGCCACCATTTCTGTCACCAATTGACATCAGTCTGTGCTTATTGTTATCTTATGAATAATGCTAATTGATGCTAATTGTTGCCTAAGGGCTAAAGTTGGGCCTTGTGATAAGCACAAAACTCTTAGCTTCTGAACTTTCCTTCTTTTATAATAATGTGTTTACAGGATGTATCGACGGCAAAGAAGTATGGAAAGCCTCAACAGGAGGACCAAGCAAAGATGACAATAAAAAGCTTCGAGACTGTTATCAAGTTCTGTGAAGTGCCAATGTGAGTAGACTTTGTCTCCGGCAGTTGGATGGGTGCAAGTATTATGTTGGGGCATTTCAAGCCAAGGTCAGACATACTGTACTAGATATATGATTGAAAGTGGTTGGGTATAAATAAGAGCTGTCTCACATGGGCCATTAGACCTTATGTAATTTCCTTTATTCTTAAGGTTTTAATGTAAGTATTGTACTCACCTAATTGTACTCACCTAATTGTGCTTGCGGGGGTTGAGCTTTGGCTCTTTGGTCCCGCCTCTCAACTGTCAATCAACTGGTGTACAGATTCCTGAGCCTACTGGGCTCTATCATACCTACATTTGAAACTGTGTATGGAGTCAGCCTCCACCACATCACTTCCTAGTGCATTCCATTTATTAACTACTCTGACACTGAAAAAATTCTTTCTAACGTCTCTGTGGCTCATCTGGGTACTAAGTTTCCACCTGTGTCCCCTTGTTCCCCCCAAGTGTGTATGCTGATTGTGTGTATGGCAGGCTGTTTAGTCTCCTAATTGTACTCGCCTAATTGTTCTTGCAGGTGATGAGCTATGGCTCTTGGGTCCCACCTCTCAACCCTAAATTGACTGGTGTACTGGTTGTAAAGTCTATTGGGCATTATCATATTTACAGTTGAAACAGTGTATGAAGTCTGCCTCCACCTCTTCACTTATTAATGCATTCCATTCCCATTGAGAATTCTGCATTGTACCTCTCGGTAATTCCACTAGAAAAGGCCACAGGGAAGTCTAGCATTAATCAAATTCAAGCAGACATATTGGGGTTTTTGTAATAATTGGGAATATTGAATTATTAAATATAATTGTATAACTTACGTCTCCTTATAACTTAGTTATTGAAGGCAGCATGTTACTTTTAGGTGTTTGAGTTTGTATTACTGTAGTGTCTTGCCTACCCAATCACATTTATATCAGAGAGAAAGATGTACGTGTGTGTGTGTGTGAACTTATCCAATAATGTACTTCACACAAGTTGTTACTCATTGTTCATATTGTTTTACAAAGTCTGTTTTATTCTCTCTTGTAGCTGCCGGCACCATTCCTTTGCTCTGTATTTTGGCGACAATAAACCAGATTGTAAGAAGCACTGTGATTACTGTACCAACCCTCAGTTATCAGCAAAGCGGGTAGAAGAATGGAATACCGCCCTGGTCCGTAAGTCGTCCTACAGGTTTCAAGCTGTGGCTGCCTTTGAAAATGGTTGTGATGACCCTGATTTGTATGGTGGAGGAAGAAGAGGTTTGAAAAGGTAAAATATGTTGGAAGAATGAAAGTTATGTTGGAAAAGTGAAAGGTAGGGTATGTTGAAAGAGTGAAAGGTAAGATGTTTTGGAAGAGTAGAATATTATAGAAATTGAAGTACCAAAGTACAGTTTAACAAAGAAGTCTTGATATTTAAACGTCATTGAAACAAATAATTAGTATACTGTATATTTTGTTATGACATGGTGCCATAGAAATATTGGAATAGTGAAGTGTGTTTAGGTTGTATTGTGTGGTAACTGTCTTGTTCTATATTTTCCGTTGTAAAACAACTTTGAAATGGTTGGTGTCGTAAAGCTAATTTTGTGTCATGTATCTTATCATGGTGAGTGCAGGATGATACATATATAAAGCTTTTTAACCCTTTAATGCTGATCATTCCCCACATTTTCATGTGTTATAATTCTTCCAGTAACGTTATACTCAAGTGAACCTTATTTAGTCACTTTGGCTTTGAATTATTCAGTATTACTCTGCACACTCCACATAACTTACAGGTTCATTTAAAAAGATCCCCTGCTCCATCAGTGCAGGATGTCACGCTGCCGTGGGGCATTCAGTAAGCTTGCAGTTCAGTAAGCAGTTCGAGTAGGGCATTCAGTAGAATTGAATTGGGGCAAAAATAACATGCCAAGCTAGTCTTTGTTGAATAGCTTGGCACAAATAATGTTTGAGAAGTTGCAGCATGAATCTAGTGAGCAGTTCGGGAAAACCTTGGCACTGGAAGACTGGAGGCTTTATTAGAATTTTGTTTACTCTGTACTGTAGTTAGTAAACAAAAAACTCATGTAGTTAGTAAATATAAATTACCAAAATAAACTAACTATAATTTGTTGGGTTATTGTGCCTTATTTTCAGCTTCTATAATTTGTTGGGTATTGTGCCTTATTTTTCAGCTTCTATAATTTGTTGGGTTATTGTGCCTTATTTTTCAGCTTCTATAATTTGTTGGATTATTGTGCCTTATTTTTCAGCTTCTATAATTTGTTGGGTTATTGTGCCTTATTTTCAGCTTATACATTTTTGTTAGTTATTGGAGGCTTTTGACTTTGAAGTTGTTGATGGTTTTATAAATATAGGCAGATGAATTTTCAGGGTATATGGTATTTCAGAGAGCAAGAAGACTATGACCAATGTGGAGATGGGGAAGACAGGGCCAGAGAGGCTGAACATGCAGCCAAGAAGCAGCGCACAAATTTCATTAAACAACAGCTTGCTCTTCGCCGCGGTAAAAAATCTTCCACTGGTTCCTCATCTTACAATGGTCGCCTGAAAGAACAGAAAGAAAAGGAAAAGTTGGAGAAAGAGGAGAATGATCGTGCGAAAAGATCTAAGCTGACAAATGCAGAATTTACTTCAAAGATCATTGGACTTAATATTATGGTAAATTGGTGACTGAAATTATTTTATTGTTGTTGTTGAATTGATCATTATATAAGCAAACAGTATTTAATTTATTTTCTAAATAATATATTGTTAAGTGTACATATCATACTAAGATAGAGTATAATTTAAGAATATATTTTTCATATTTGTCATAATTTGTATAATTTTCTTGATTGCCATCCATTAATGAAATTTATTGGTAATTGATTTTCAAATGTGGTAAACCTGTATTCAATTTTGCATTACTCTTGTTTTGCAAAATATTCTGAACAATCTGCATTTTTCCACTGAATGGTAGAAGTTGAAGGCCCACTCAGGTGGCTCCACCACATGCCTATATGCTACCCCACAAGACAACTAGGGAACTGAAAATATAAAATGCTGACGATGAGTCACAATAATGTGGCTGAAGATATGATGACCAAATCATACATCGAAAGTTGAAGAAATGACTGTTTCGGTCCGTCCTGGACCCCTCACACACGACTTGATAATGGTCCAGGACAGACCGAGATGTTATCATTTCTTCATCTTGTGATGTGTGGTTTGGTCATCTTAAAATGCTGATAATAATAATATATATACATTTTGTACACTAAAGATTCAAGTGAACTTACAGTATATGGGGCCCTGACGGCCAAGTGGACAGAGCTCGGGATTCGTAGCCCTCAGGTTCCGGGTTTGATACCCAGCGGAGGCAAAAACAAATGAGCAGAGTTTCTTTCGCCCTTATGCCCCTGTTCACCTATCAATAAATAGGTACCTGGTAGTTAGACAGCTGCTATGGGCTACTTCCTGGGGTTGTGTAACAAAAGGCCTTGTCGAGGATCAGGATGCTAAGCCCCGATATCATCTCAAGATAACCTTAAGATATATATACAGTATACAGTGGCACCTCAGTTAATGAGTTTAATCCCTCCTGGCACCGAGCTCGTCATGTGGAAAACTCGTCTTCCGAAACGACGATAAAACTGTCGTAAAAGGTGTCCGAGAACCAGCGGAAACGCTCGTTACTCGAGGAAAAGCTCGTTAGTAGAGACAAATGTTCTGCGAGTGGCTCGCTCGTTACTCGAAGTGCTCATAGATAGAGCCGCTCATTAATCGAAGTGCCACTATATATATACAGTATACTAATCTTACCGCTCTCAGTGCCTTATCTTCCGGTAAATTTGTCCTGGAATAATATGTATAATCTGCACATTGTTGGTTTAATGCATTGACATGTTGATAAATAGTATTCCTTTAGATAATGAAAATAAAATGTTTATATTTCTCTCATTCGTGTTAATTCTTTGCTTTAAAATGGTGGTTAAAAATGTTTCAGACAAGAGAGAGTTACCTCCAGTTGGTGTTTCAAGCACTTCAGAAAAACTATGAAGTCTGTGGTGACTCCGGACCAGTTTTAAATAGATTAAAAGAATCTGATATAGAGGACGTGGCTGTGAAACTGGAGTACAGCGTCTTCACTTCCACCTTTGTCTTAATGATGTATCGCAAAGGCATGATGTCGCTGGTTTGTAGTCATAATTTTCTTGTATTTTTTTTTTTACTTGAAACTGATCTCTCTTGCTCCACACCCTCTCGTTGATCAGGTGGCTTTTTAGTGATTAATTATTACTGGTAGTCCTTAACTCTGTTCCAAATTGCTGTTTAGCTTGCACTTGATTGTCAGGTATAGCAGGCCTGCATAATTTTTTTTTTATATATAGATGTACATTACTGGTAATTGCATAACAAAATTCCAGGTCTCCTTGTGTGTAATCTTAATATCTGTAAATAGTTGTGCAGTCTTTTGTTTTCTCTCGTCAAGCCTCTTTCACAGGCCGTTTTTATCACCATGTGAGATAACTTTTATCATTATAGACACTCTTAGAGTTTTAGTTTGTTTTGTGCCTAATTTTGATGATTAAACTGTGAAAATATAATGCCAGGTTGTTCTTTTGATAAGAGTAGTTGTTTTATTCATCTTAATTATTCATTTCTCTTGAAGCAGTGTTATCCTTTGGTTTCTTAATTCATGAAGATAAGTCATCAAACATTTCTTGCTAACCAAAATTCATGTTTATTTGTTAATATTAAGTGACTCAGTCTCTACTTCCAGACTCCACATTCTCTCCTGATCTTTCCAAGTAGATCTTTGCTTTCGGTGTTTATTTATTGTTTTTGTATTTATTGTTAATTGTTCTATTTGTTTATTACTTGTCATTTTCATGTGACTTGATATCAATACTAATTTTAGGGTGACAATAAGTCACAATAAAGGGGCTGAAAATGAGACACCCAACCCACAAATCTAAAAATAAAGGAAATGATAAATAAAAATAAAGGAAATGTTTCAATCCATCCTGGACCGTTATCATTTACGTGACTTGATAATGGCCGAGGACACACCAAAACGTTGTCAACTCCTTTATGCTCTGATTTGTGGGTTTGTTGTAAGACTACTTTTAAGAGTTTTTTTAAGTATGTACTTGTTTACTTGTCCATCTTGTTTTTGTTACGATAGTAATTAATAATTTATTTCGCCCACAACTTCTTGCCAATGTCTCCACTTATAATAGTTTACCTACTTTGGTTAGTCTACTTTCTCTATATTATCTTCCCTCTGGGGAGCTCTGGGGACCAGAGTGGACCACATTATCCTATGTAAAACAACACAAACTTCTCTGTTTATTTACCTGTTTTGAATATTGTACTTGGCTGAAAGTATAGGATTGTGATACTGTGTCAGAGGATTGGAAAGGAGTTGGGATTGTACCACTGTTCGAGAATAACAAAGGAAGTAGTGAGTGTAAGAATTATGGGAACATTAGCTGACCAAGTGTAGTCAGTAAAGTGTATGACAGAATAGTGATTGGAAAAGTAATGGAAATGCTAAGACATGTATAAGTGATGGAGATGGTGGGTTCTGTGATGAAAGAGGGTGCATAGATTACATATTTGCACTGTGAAAGCAAAGTAGAGAAGGCACTTGAGAAAGATTGTAAAGTGTTCATTGCCTTTATCAACTTTGAAAAGCTTATGATAAAATTAATAGAAAAGATCTCTGGGGTGTGATGAACATCATAGTATTGGCTGCATTCTGTTAAATGCTGTGAAAAGTTTCTGTGTTGGATGTAGTGAGTGTTTAACAGTAAATAGTGTAATGCGTTGCTGGTTTGTTATTAATAGTGGTGTATGCAAGGTTGTGTGATGGCATCTTAGTTGTTCAGTACCATGTGTATTTATTAATGGCATCAGGAGAGAGAGGTTAAATTAATAATACTAGAAGAATGCGGAGACCTAGTTTATAGACGATGTGAATAATTTGAGTATGTCAAATTATGATAGTTATTTCAGCAGTGATAGAGATTTAATTAGATTTATGGAAAATTATATTGATGGATGAGAGAGAAAAAACTGTGTAAGTGCACGTGGAAAAAAGTTAAGATGGTGGAGAGAACATTGTGTGTGTGTGTGTGTGAGATATATGTATCTCAGGAAGTGCTAAAGATGGTTCATCAGTTTATATTAAGGTACCAGAGATGAGAGGACAGTGATCAAAATGCCATTTGAGGAATTGAAGTTGAGAATAGGACGAGTCCAAGAAGGAAATTGGCTTTGCATTCGAAACTCGGCTTGAAAAAAGCAAGATAAGAATGACAGGTGAATGACATAGTGATCACATCAGTCTTAATTGTAGATGCAAGATGATGGTATGGTATGAACATAAAAAATCAAGAATTAGAATAAAAGAAATGGACATTCTGAGAACTGAAGCCTGTTTTGCATTAGTAGAATAAAGTTAGAAATGAAAATATCATGGAGAGATGTTGAGTGCGGAAGTACATAAAGAGCAATTGAGGAAAGCCTGTTGAGATGGTTTGGATATGCTGAACGAACAGTTAATGGTAGACTGGTGAGGAGTGTGTACGTGAGTAAACTTGAGGGTCAGAGGAGAGGAAGTCGGAAAGATGATAGTCAGACAAGATGAGTGTGCGTACGTGCAGAAGCAGGGAGCGAGTGTGAACAATGCAAAGGTTATGGTAAGGGGACAAGGCTGGGTGGAAGTGGTTTGTAAAAAGGGAGTAAACGTATTTGTACAGTTCATTTGTACATTTGTACAGTATTTGTACGTATTTGTACAAATACGTACAAATGTACGTATTTGTACAGTTTTTACAGTATATGACAGCTCATGAGAAGCACTGCACATCTGGTTTTATGAAGTGGTAGATGACACCTCGAGTGTGGCATTATATGTTTATCCATGAGCCAGTCGGCCGAGCGGACAGCATGCTGGACTTGTGATCCTGTGGTCCTGGGTTCGATCCCAGGCGCCGGCGAGAAATAATGGGCAGAGTTTCTTTCACCCTATGCCCCTGTTACCTAGCAGTAAAATAGGTACCTGGGTGTTAGTCAGCTGTCACGGGCTGCTTACTGGGGGTGGAGGCCTGGTCGAGGACCAGGCCGCGAGGACACTAAAAGCCCCGAAATCATCTCAAGATAACCTCAAGATGATGCTATTCTGTGTAGTATGACGGTTATAACAAACAGATGAATTATATTAATATTTTTTAATGTCGATATTGTTCTTTTATATTATTCCTATTTTATCTCTAAGCTGATGCCTCCCCCACCCAATGAAAGTACCATAGTTATATAATTTAATCACTTGTTAAGTTAGTATAGTACTCTATAACTCTATACAAGCACTGTACCGTTGTGTAGCCCATGGTGCAGAGTTCATTGATTGAAAGCTTTGTTTTTCTTTTTTCAATAATAATTTTGTATTTTCATGTCTCGTGCCAATTTCATAACCGAGTTTGGACATTTTAAGCACAGTATATGTAATGGCATTAATATTCTTATTGTCATTTGTAATCTTATTTCATAATAGTTTATTTCTTTATTTCAGATGATGAGCATCAGAAAAGACACAAGTTCATTTGTTTTGCGCTCAGAGCTGGCTGAACATGAACCGAAGCTGAGTCTTGGCCAGCTAGCTAAGCAGATTGAAAATGACATTAAGAACCGGAAAACTATGAACTCGGGTTTCAAAAGTGCAAGTGAAGTGATGGAGGAGAGCCGTCGTGAAGTCAAAAAGAAAGAGCCTGAGAGTCTAAGTACTAGACGCGGTTTTGCGCTAAAGAGATCTCCAAACCATCAAACATCATTGAATTCATATTTTATTAAAAGTGACAAGACTAAGACCAGTGGTAAGGTTGATCATCAATTGTCAGAAAGTGAGTCTGATGGGGAGGACTCTGGCAATAAAGAAAAGAGAAAGATGACAGACAACAATGCTGAACATGTAGATGAAAGTACCAAAGAAGGGAATATGTCTGATGCAAGTAACTACGATCCAGATGAAAATCAGGCGTTTATCTGTGAAGAAGTTTATTTGTCTGACTTGGATTGTAATGATGATGATGATGATGATGATGGTAACAGAAGTAGTGTAAATAGTGGTTCTGATAATAAGGATGCACACTCTAGCGTTGATAGTGAGATTAACTCTGAAGGCACTGATAATAGTCAACATTCAGTTGAAGAATCTAAACTTGTGCCGATTACCGAAGAAAATGGTCAGACAGTAAAAGTTAATTCAGAGAAAGAAAGAAATGAAGATCCTGCTAAAAGTGTGAGCAAAAGTGCAAGTGTGCATGCTGAAGTGTTACCGGAGCTGTGCAATGGTAATATGTCATCAGATAAAACTGGCATCATTGACTTTATGGATGAAGATGAATGTTCAGTGGAGGTTTCTGGAAGTGAGTGTAAACAGAGCACAGGTTATTCGCCAGGTGAGACCAGTATTATAAATATGTTTTCTCCCGACAAAGTAAATACATGTGAGTTGCAAAAGACTGTGTGTAGTGGTAGCCAGTCATTGTACACTGTAATGCCATCTGTTGTCTCCTCCAATAACATTTTGTTTTCAAAACCTTCATTCCATAGCAACCGAACTGCAGACTCGTCCTTGGAGGTACAGGAATGCAAATCAACAGCTGAAAAATCTGAAACTAAAAGATCAAGCAGTAAGAAATGTAGAGTCAGCAAGAAATTAAAGATAATTGATTTATTTGGTGACGAGTGTGGGACAAATGAAACAGAACATCAGGAAGATAAGAAGGTTTGTGTCGAGGCTCAAAGTACTGATGCACATAACACAGCATTAAAGAAGGAAAACGAAAGTAGGCGTGTCGAAAATGAACGACAGAGTAACTACATCACGTGCCAAGACAAAAATGATAAAGGGATGGAGAGTAAAGATAGTAAACACAAGCATTCTAATGATGATTATCATCTCAAGGATTCCAGCAGTACAGTTAATGAGAGAGACAGCAAGAAAGAGAAGTACCGAGAGCGTAATGACAGAGACAAGTACGAAGCAAATGAAAGCCTTAAAGAAAAAGAAGAAAAGTGTAAAGAAAGTGAAGAAATACTTGATTTTAGAATAAAAGACTCTCCCACATCTCTAAATAAACATAAACAAACTGAGTGTAAAAATAAGAAAGAAGGAAGGTCAAGCAGTTCTAGGAGGTATTCTGAAAGATCATCAAGTGATTCAGATAAATATAAAAGGGAGTCCGAAACAACAAGAGATTCAAAAAAGTCTCCAAGAGGTTCAGAGAGATCACAAAGATATTCAGAAAAAGCAGAGAGAATCTCTGAAGAGTTTTTATCAAATTTGGATAACTCTAGAAAGGACTTTGAAAGATCTGAGTTGAAATTGGAGAAATCTGGAAGGAATTCAGATAAGTGCAAAAGGGATTCAGAAAACCTCAAAGATTTAGATAAATCTAATAGGGATTCAGAAAAGTCTAGGAAAGATTTAGAGAAGTCTGAGAGGAAATTGGAAAAGTCTAGGAGAGATTTTAAGAGGGATTCAGATAGAGCACAGAAGGATAAAGAAAGATCTGATAGAAGCTCAGAGAGAGCACGAAAGAAAGTAGAAAGAGCACAAATTGATTATGATAAAGGCTTGAAAGCAAATGTAAACAAGATTGCTAAGGAGAGAAAAGCAGGCGACAATCAAGAAAAAAAAGAAAGCATTTCAAGTAGTAAAATTGAGGATCTGTTTGGATTTGACCACAAAAGTTTGAATCATACAGCATTAGAAGAGCCAAAGATTACCGATATACCAAATACTATACAAAGTAATTTTAGAAATAAGAAGTTAAGTCCAGTAAATATATGTAGTGAGTCTTCAAATATAAATTCGGAAATATCCAAAGACACTTCAAGTTGTGTGGCAGTGGTAAATACAGGGGAAGAAGTATCAGTAGTACACAAAAAGCAAATAGCGGACTGGGTAGTTAAACATCTCATGCCACATTACAAGAGTAACAACATAAACGGGAAGGAGCTTTTCAAGTCGCTCGCTAGGCAGATGTCACACCATGTTCTGCAGCTGGGACTTGGGAAAGGTCAGTCAAGACAATTTGTATTTACTAGATTCTTGCCAAACATTCACCCTGAACTAATAAGGTATGAAGTGTAAATTTTCTTTTGATGGTAGTGAGTGGAAGGTATTTTGAAAGCATATGGGGGTCATTCTGAATATGGTATCGTTAAAACATTTCCTGTAGGTTTCTATGGTTTTTGAGTGAGTGCTTCCTCAGCCCAACAGTGTTCTAGGAAATGTTAAAATATGATATAAGTGGAAAATAAGAGTTTTTTCATGTTAAAACAATTTTGATACACATGAAACAGATGCTGCTTGTCTAGTGGCATAGAAAAGTTAGCAACTATTACATTTTATACTCAACTGGGATAGCCAAATTAGCCTGAAAACATGAGTGATTAATTAATTACGCTAAGTATGGAGAATGTTTAACAGGAGCAATTCAGAAATGGCTCATGATTGATAGCAAAGTCAGCCTGAAACTTTTTGTTAAGCAAGACATTGAACTTTGCTTCAGAGACTGTGATAGGCAGATACTTCAACCTGTTCTGGTATTCAGGGTGACATTTTTTGTGGGGAGAGGGGGGGGGGCATTCTTGGTCACCTGTTTTAAACATTTTTAAGTGTGTGTTTAACTTTTAAATATTAATTGCCTTGGCCTATGAATTTCTAGGTAAAGGTTTTATTTATTTTATTGTGCCTTCATATACAATGTGATGAGCATTGTTCTCAGAGAAAGAAAGAAACAGTACTGTAAATGGCAAACTATATTTTGAGTTTTGTTAAAGAGTCTTGGTGTGAGACCAAAATTTTTCATGCAGTTTGACATATATTACCGTTTCTTTTATCAAAGTTTGGGATATAGTCATTGCTGAAATTATGAGTACATTGCCACTTAAATACATACATTGAAATATTAAAATATACTTTTATTTCTTTCAGATGAAGCAGGAGCCGAGCAGATTATCAAAAAGTTTTTTGAGAGAGTAAAAAAAGTTTCTTGTGAAACGGATATTGTTTTTCACTGACCACATTTAGCTGAACCTGTTTTGCATGATGCAAATTATATTATGTGGCAGCTCATGAATTAAACATCAAATGCTGTTTAAAGCGGGTTTATCTGCGTTAATGGAAAATTGTTCGCCGGAGTCACACAAATATATTGTTGTGCTCGTGAGACATTGTCTTCAGGAACCACATAAGGCCTTGCTGTGTCAGTGATAAATTATCTGCAGGAACCATACAAGGCCTTGTTGTGGGGGACATGAAATTTTCTGTAGAAACCATATAAGGCTTTGCTGTGTCAGTGATAAATTATCTGCAGGAACAACATAAGGTCTAGCTGTGTCAGTGAGAAATTATCTGCAGGAACCATACAAGGCCTTGTTGTATGGGGCAAGAAATTTTCTGCAGGAACCATATAAGGTTTTGCTGTGGCAGTGAGAAATTGTCTTCAGGAACCACATAATGTCTAGCTGTGTCAGTGAGAAATTATCTGCAGGAACCATACAAGGCCTTGTTGTATGGGGCAAGAAATTTTCTGCAATAACCATATAAGGCTTTGCTGTGGCAGTGAGAAATTGTCTTCAGGAACCACATACGGCCTTGCTGTGGCAGTGAGAAATTGGCCACTGGAGCTACACCAGTCAGTTACAGCTGCGATACAAGCGAGTTTTAAGTAAGTGTTTTCACAACGCAAGGAACGATTGCGCTGCCACTCGTCCAGGAATTGTTCATTACTTGACACATTTTTGAAAGGGAGCTTTGAGCATGTTTCATTATGACATTTATTTTATTATTTCTACTGTACTGTACTATATATTTGCTGCTAGTAAATTCTTGATTACAAGGAGTACATTTAAAGGCAACTTTATTTGTGACACTATTACAATTTATGTACGGTATTTTTAATTACATTTCTCTCCTATACCTATACTTATAGGTATAACTATAAGTATAACTAGCTATACTAACTCCTATACTTGAGTTGTCAAATTTGTAAGTGTCACCAACAGATTTACTTAGTACAGTAAGCAAAGTTAAGTATTATGATGTCTTACCTTGGGTAGAGTTGGTAAGTCAGTACATTACAGTACTGTACATGAATTTTCTGTGATACTGTATATAGAAAAATTAGCTGCATGTGTTTTGACCAGAAAAATTACCAGTGGAGCATTATTGTTTATAATTTATTTTTTATGTATGAATTATGCCTTGCAAAATTATTTTTAATTTGGTTGGAAAAATTAAGTGTAGAAGGACATCTTGGCTCGAGGGCCCCTCATACAGCCCTGTAGGTCTTTTGTAGTTTCCTGTATACTGTATTAATGTTCTTATGAAGGCGGTAAAATAAAGGGAAAGGGGCATTAACGTTAATTTTTCTTCAAAAAGCGGTATTGAGGTCTGCTGCATTTTGCACCAATTCCATGTTGTTATTTCAATAAATTATGTTTTACTGTACAGTACTTTGTTTTTATTACTTTTGCCAGAATGTTTTATCTTTAGTGCATCCCACTTTTATATTCTTGTTGAGATGTCCTCAGTTCTCTCAAACATTAATATGTTCTCACAGAGCAGCAGTGAGTGCCGACCATCACGTGAAAACTCTAACAGGTGTTTCAAGAGCTACTCCAATGGTGTTCAAGTGTGTGTTCAAGTGTCTGGGAGAAGATTTGAAGTGACTCAAAATTTGAAGGACACCAGGAGGGAAATCGTATTAGTCAGAGGTGCAGGAAAAATCAATTAAAACTATATCCATGAAGAATAAAACTATATCCATGAAGAATAAAACTATATCCATGAAGAATATTTGTTTACACATTCTGTAAATCTTCGGGGAATCTGGTACTTTATACATCACCCGTCTTAAGTTATTTTGTTCTTGCATGATATCTAGGCTTTGTTGGCTGTTGTGCATCACAGACGGCTAAATAGTCTTCTAGGCCTCATACTTCATTTTAATAATTATTTACACGTTTTGTAATTGTTTTGGATTATGTTTTGGTAAACTGGAAATTTAATGTGGTTAATGTAAGCACAGCATATTATATACAGTATATATATTATTTGTCTATTTAAACAAGATCTATGAAGGTTGTATGTGGCCAATAAGGTGGTTGTTGAAGAATTTTTAAAGATGTGATACTTTATTCAGAAGTTGTAATTTATTTAGTAATAAATATTTAAGCTATAGTTTGCTAAAAAAAAATTATTCCTTCCTCCCGTCCCATCCCAAATCCTTATCCCGATACCTTCCCAGTGACATGTAGTCGGAATGGCTTGGCAGTTTCCTTCCCCCTTTCCCATTTTTGGGGGGAACAGAGTTTGTTTTGCTTATTGTGTTCCCCCGAGGCCGAAGATTGACATCCCCCAGGATGCAACCCACAACAGTTGGCTTACTCTCAGGTGCCTGTTTAACTGCTATGTGAAAAGAATATTGCAGAAGAAAGTTTTAGTGTGTCTGAGTTTAGGGTTTTTGATAAGTTGGAAAACGGGTAGTGTGTACTCACCTAGTTGTGTTTGTGGGGGTTGAGCTCTGGCTCTTTGGTCCCGCCTCTCAACTGTCAATCAACAGGTGTACAGATTCCTGAGCCTATTGGGCTCTATCATATCTACACTTCAAACTGTGTATGGAAACTGTGTGTGTGTGTTCAGTATGAAATATTTACAAAAATTTCTAAGTGGCAAAAATTTGCCTTTAGTATTTAGTAGTAACAGCATTTGTCATTAGCCAATATTTATCAATTTAATGAGTTATAGCATCTTCAACACAGTTTAGAACCTAATTAGGATTTTGTAATTGTTGCATTGAATGCTTACCTGGGATTTTCCATTTTTATTCCTTTTTATGGGCTATTTCATCAGCAAGGACAAGCTGAATGCTCACAGCACTCTAGGCACTTTCTGAATGATAATCACACGCTGGACTTTGGGGACGCATAATATTCTGTCAATGAGACATGAGCGTTTTAGTGTGTTTACTAGTTGTGTTTTTTGCGGGGGTTGAGCTTTGCTCTTTCGGCCCGCCTCTCAACTGTCAATCAACTGTTTACTAACTACTTTTTTTTTTTCTTTTTTCTTTTTCTTTTTTTTTCCCACACCACACCACACACACCCCCCAGGAAGCAGCCCGTGACAGCTGACTAACTCCCAGGTTAGTGTGTTGAGAATGTAAATAGAATATGTATTATTTTGAGCCCATTGCATGTAAAACTGCTACCAAATGGTTTCCCCGAGCTGCTTAATATTTATATACAGTAGTAGTACATAACAAAATATTTAAGGCTCATTCTGCAAAGACTTGTGGTTAAATTTTTGAAAATACTGTACTGTATGAGCTCGCTTATCCGGACTCCACTAAACCGGATATTTGCGTTATCTGACCAAAATCGCATCCAGATAATTTTTTGGCAAAACTTTGCAATATCCAGATAATAATCTGGATAACCGGAGGTTTGGCCAGATACCGCAGACAGGCATAGAGTTTAAATTACATGTGGATAATTTTCTAGCAAAACTTCTTCATATCCGGACAGAAATCCGGATAACCATAGATTAGGTTATGTAAATTTTCAAGAATTACACATTTCAAGATCTACATTATCAAACAAGAAGACAAACTACACCAAGGTAAGCTGTAGTCATTTTTTTAAATTACCTGTATATTTCTGATTTATAGTGTGTGTTGAAGTTCAAATTATGTTGGTTGGGGGTACAAAAAGTTGTGAATATGGACATTTTTGAACTTACCTAGTGAGAATTCTGCTTATCCGGATGTCTGGCTTATCTGGATGGGGGGGAAGTCTTTCCCATATAGTCCGGATAGTCGAATTCATACATATGTGTACAGTTCCGCAGTTTATGCAGACGATGAGTCTCGATAACGTGGCTGAAGATATGATAACCAAACCACGCCAGAAGATGGAGAAACATTGATGTTTTGGTCCACCCTGGACCATTATCAAGTCCAATTGTGGTCCAGGACGACTTGGACCAATCGACTAGATAATGTTCTAGGACGGACTGAAACGTCATGGTTTCTTCATCTTCTGGTGCGTAGTCCCCACTTTATGATTTCCAATTGTCGGGGACAAAATCCCTGTTTAGCATATTTAGGGGCCTGCTAAGTCAACAACTGACCTTTCTCAGGTTGCAACCCACAACAGTCAACCAACTCATGAGGTACCTATTTACTGTTGAGGACGCATGCCCAAATATCTCGCTCTGCCCAAGGATCAAACACAGGACTATTTGGATGCAAGCCAACTGTGCTAACCACTGTGCCACAGGTTATATCACCCTCATTATTATCATTATCAGCATCATATCCATCAGTTATGAGAAGGAAGAATATGAATAGGAGCAGCAGCAGTGGGAAGAGACAAGTTAGCAAGAAGGGTGTCAACAGTTGTCAAAGCTGGGATCTCCCCCTAGTCCCTTACCCTCCCCTCAGTCCCTTACCCTCCCCTCAGTCCCCTCCCCTCCCCTCAGCCCCTTACCCTCCCCTTAGTCCCCTACCCTCCCCTTAGCCCCCTACCCTCCCCTCAGTCCCTTACCCTCCCCTCACTGCTGCCATAATATTGTAAGAATGGAAAGTTAAAAATATTGTACTCAGTGACACCTTGCATAATACCTTCCTTGCCTAGAGGCATCTTGGGGAACACAAGTGCTACGGTCATAAGTATACACGCAATACACCGGTGCTAATAAGTATGTACTGTACTGTATATTTGTGTATATAGAGGAAACATTCAACAACTATGTTCTGTATATGACCAAGTTTCTGAATGTTGTACTTAATTTGAAGCTGTATATTCGTATGATTCAAGTTAAACCATTCAATTTTTGTCCACACGCAAAATATTAGGAGGTATTAGGAAGCCGAGTTTTATATAAATATAATATATGAATGGAGCTGATATTGGTGAAGGGGATTGTAGTCCGCATCACAGAAGGCAAAACTGATATTAATTTATTCTTAATGTTTGTTATATAATTTTGATCTTTCAGCAATATTTTTGTACATTACTTGCTTCCCTGGATTTTTTTCGTATTTTTTAATGGAAGGAACTATTAAGAAGGGGAAATGACTTAAGTAATTACACACACACACACACACACATAGGTGGAAACGAGTACCCAGATGAGCCACAGAGACGTTAGAACCAATTTTTTCAGTGTCAGAGTAGTTAATAAATGGAATGCATTAGGAAGTGATGTAGTGGAAGCTGACTCCATACACAGTTTCAAATATAAGTATGATAGAACCCAGTAGGCTGAGGAGTCTGTACACTAGTTGAGTGACGGTTGAGAGCCGAGACCAAAAAGACAAAGCTCAACCCCCGCAAGCACAAATAGGTGAGTACACACACACACACACTCACTCACTCACTCTAGCTGATGAAGACACACACAAAGACCCCCACACCTCACACCCCCCCCCTTGCCCCATTCTACACCTCTCCTCCATCCCTTCACTTTCCCCTTTCCCATTTTCCTTTCCTCTGAACCATAATTAGCCCAAACAACCCCATTCGACCTCAAAGTAACCAGCCGCTCGCCTACCACGTTCTAATTCCGTCCGCGTGGCGCCCTCTCCTGGCACTCGTCTGTCTGTTCCGGGAAATCCTGGCGTGGCACCCACCCCACGAGTGCCACCCGGCACTATGCCAGAGTTCAACTAAGATCAACTTAAATGGTCACCTCACACGTATTACGCCTCGCTGTACTAACCTAGTTGAGCTCTGGCTCTTTGGTCCCGCCTCCCAACTGTCAATCAACTAATGTACAGGTTCCTGAGTCTACTAGGCTCCCTATCATATCTACACTTGAATCTGTGTACGTTTGGGTATATATCGGTTTATGATTAAGGTCTATGGTAGTTTTATAATGTTGTTGGTTAGTAAAACAGGTTTCAGATGTGGCGTTTTCTCGTGAATTCATTCCCGGATCTTGAATCACCCAGGTATTGGTGAACCAGCTATTGTTTTATCGATTCTGTGAGTGGTAATAGTTCTCATACTCATCATGTGCATTGTAATGGATCTCATACTAATCCTGTGGGTGGTAGTGGACCCTATACCCATCCTGTGGGTGGTAGTGGACCCTATACCCATCCTGTGGGTGGTAGTGGACCCTATACCCATCCTGTGGGTGGTAGTGGACCCTATACCCATCCTGTGGGTGGTAGTGGACCCCATACCCATCCTGTGGGTGGTAGTGGACCCCATACCCATCCTGTGGGTGGTAGTGGACCCCATACCCATCCTGTGGGTGGTAGTGGACCCCATACCCATCTTGTGGGTGGTAGTGGACCCCATACCCATCCTGTGGGTGGTAGTGGACCCCATACCCATCTTGTGGGTGGTAGTGGACCCCATACCCATCTTGTGGGTGGTAGTGGACCCCATACCCATCCTGTGGGTGCTAGTGGGCCCCATACCCATCCTGTGGGTGCTAGTGG